TACCTGGGGAGCGAACGAGCCTGGACGACCTCACGCCTCGATTCCTCGATTCCTCGATCACGGCAGTTTGGCCGCGCAAGATATTTGCGGCTTTCGCCTTCGTTCGAAAGCCACCGGAGATGGCCAGCCTGGTAACAAGAGGTGGGTCAACCAGCCAGGCTTTTAGGTTTCGTGGCAGTTTCCACTTGAAACACAAGTTATCACAAGTTAATTAAGCCTTTAGAGGATCTGAAAACGGAAGCCATCCGGCTGCTTAGGTGTTGAGGCTTTAGGTTTCTTGTGGTAGTTTCCACTTAACGCACAAGTTCAGCCTTTAGGGGATCTGAAAGCGGACAGCCCAGCTAAATGACCCATGTCCCTGAAACAAAATCATCGCTGGTAAGTTCTTTTCCAGACTGGTGATCACCCACGTCAACAGTCGGACCTCTTCAAACGCTTTCCCTTGAAAATCGTTCCCTTGGACCCCTCAAACTACCCATGAAAGGGGAATTCACCAATCCTACTGTGGATGGACAAAATCCACTTCGCACAAAAAAAGAAACCCTGGAATGGTGATTTTGTTCTGTAAATACCAACCAACAATGGTTTCAAACATGGTTTCAAAGTGGTGCGAAATGGATTTCGGCCATCCACAGTATGTTTGGGCTGCACTAGCCCACTTTCGAGTTGGAACGCTGAGGATTTGGGTGTGGGTCAAAATTAAACCACCAGGGGTCCGCAGGTTTTGGTCCATGTTGCCACTTGCCAAACCAACCCATTTCGGGATTACCCTATTTTTGACAACCACAGCCATTTAGGCTGCAAGCCTCCGCTCCAATGCCGAGGTCTCGCGAAATTTGGGACAGCCACCAACGGCGAAATTTGGGCGACACATGTGCCCCGAACTGATCAAAATGTTCTCTCTGTGTCTCTGTGTTGTTTCTAAGTTGAAAGTAGCCAAACTGATCTGTTCACAATTTGAGATATATTTTTTTGTGTTGTTTCTAAGTGGAAAAGGGTGGCGGGCCTCAAAAGGCACACTGATTATCACCCATTTCTTCAGCACTCTGTCCTTGCCCGCTGTGAACAGTTGCCCTTTCCCTCGCGGAAACTCTCTGGGTCCGAACTCGGCGGCAAGACACAGGAGAAACCCCACGTCCAAGGCTTCCAGGTACCAAATATAGTGGCTAGCTTAGCAGGGCTCCTTAAATGATCTCCATTTTGCAACCATTTGAAACAAAGCATGGCAGTTTCCACCAAAATAAAGGGAAACCGCCATTTACAAGGCAATGTTCAGGTGTATAATGTAAGGATCCCTGCTTAGCCTTTGTTTTTTTGTTTGTGAACTTGGCACCATTCAAAAAGAGCCACCCCAAAATGGTGGCCGTTTGCAACCAGGTGTTTTCCTTTCAAACCCCACAAGGATACCTTCAAAAAAGAAGCTAAGGATACCCCACAAGGATACCAAAAGGATACCATCTAATACTGGGCCGTTTGTTGGTTTGAGCATGGCACACCCATGGAGCGTGTCCACTGACTTGAAGTTTACTGACTTGCTTGCAAGTTAGAATTGGTTTTCTGATGGCTTGCTTGCTTGCTTGCCTGCCTGCTTGCTTGCCTGCTTGCTTGCTTGCTTGACTGCCTGCTTGCTTGCTTGCTTGCCTGCCTGCTTGCTTGCTTGCTTGCTTGCCTGCTTGCTTGCCTGCCTGCTTGCTTGCTTGCTTGCTTGCCTGCTGGCTTGTTTGTTTGCTCATCTGTTGTGTGTTTGATCGTTTTGTTCCTTTTTGTTTTGCTTGTTTGCTTGTTTGTTGGTTTGTTTGTTTGGTTGGTTGTTTGTTACTTAGCTTGTTTGTGTTTATTTGTTTGTTGATTTGCTTGTGTGTTTGTTTATTATTTTGTTTGCTTGTTTGCTCATTTGTTCATTTGTGTGTTTGCTTGCTTTTTGTTGCTTGTCTGTTTGTTTGTTTGTTTGTTTGCTTGGTTGTGTGTTTGGGTGTTTGTGTGCATGCTCGCTTGCTTGCGTTTGTCCTTGTCGAACGCTTGATTTGTTTGATCGATTGATTGATTGTTTGATTGATCGGTCGATCGATCGATTCATTGATTGAACGAATGAATGATCGAACGACTGACTTGATTGGATTGTGGTCCATTCACTGATCTTACTTGACTTAATTTGAATGAGTTGATTGATTGATTGATTGATTGATTGATTGATTGATTGATTGATTGATTGATTGATTGATTGATTGATTGATTGATTGATTGATTGATTTCATTTGATTTGATTTGATTTGATTTGATTTGATTGATTGATTGATGGATTGATTGGTTCTTTCATTCATTCATTCGTCCATTCATTCAGTCATTCATTCATTCAGTCATTCAGTCATTCATTCATTCATTTATTAATTCATTCATTCATTCATTCATTCATTCATTCATTCATTCATTGATTCATTCATTCATTCATTGATTCATTCATTCATGAATTCATTCATGAATTCCATCATTCATTCATTCATTCATTCATTTGTTCGTTCGTTCATTCATTCATTAATTTATTCATTCATTCATTCATTCGCTTGTTCATTCATTCATTCATTTGTTCATTCGTTCATTCGTTCATTTGTTCATTCGTTCATTTGTTTATTTGTTCATTTGTTTTTGTTTTCATTCATTCATTCATTCATTCATTCATTCATTCATTCATTCATTCATTCATTCATTCATTCATTCATTCATTCATTCAATTCATTCATTTATTCATTCATTCATTGATTCATTCATTCATTCATTCATTCATTCATTCATTCATTCATTCATTCATTCATTCATTCATTCATTCATTCATTCATTCATTCATTGGTTCATTGGTTCTTTGGTTAGCTTGGTTTGGTTTGGTTGGGTTGGGTTGGGTTTGTTGGTTGGTTGGTTGATTGGTTGATTGGTTGATGACCAGTGGTTTTACCAACTGCGTCCCTTGCAATCAGGCGCGAGCTTTGACCATGGCCCATGGCTAGCGATCTCCGTCCCAGCTGGAGCAAGACCCACCACCGATTATTCTCCGCAGGCAGTTGGAGGTGAAAATTGATGTGCTTTGAGTGCGGCGGTTGCGAGTTGCCTTGGCTATTTGTCTGGCATTCTTTCATTCAAGTTGCGGGTAGGGCAATCATTCCAACCCCCGCGCCGTTAGGGTCAACTAGCAACTGGTTGCATCCTTGTAGAAATTTTACATAGCATCCTTGTTATACTGCCAAGGGTTTACAAATCTGGGTGCGGCTCACAACTCAAGAGCTTAATTTGTGCAGGTTGTGGTCCTTGTTTCCATTTACCAGGGTTCCATTTTGGGTCCCATTTTTTGAGCCACAGCCTAGGGGTTAGCTTTTCACGGGGAAACCCAACCGAACCTATCCTCCCAATCATTCCAGGAGAGTGACAGGGGACTGCCAAAGAAATTCTCAACTTCTAGGGAAACGGAGTGACTTTGGTACAATACTGTGATGAACGCAATCCATTTCGCACCATTTTGACACCATGGTTGAATCCATTTGTTTGTTGGCATTTTCTGGAAAATCGAAGCATTCCTGGGTTTCTGAATGGTGCGAAATGGATTTCGCAACCATCCACAGTACCAGGTCGTCGAGCTCTTCATGTTATCTAAATCTGACTCCGACACGGATGAGTGCCCCAATCAGTTTGCTTGACTTTCATCTTTCTGTGTCACTCGTGACGAGCGGTTTTTCAATAGGCTGTGCCCCCCAAAGCATGGTTGTTGTTGGGAAACATTTTACATGTTTGCTTATTGTGGCTTAGTGGTGGAAATCCAACCACTTAACTGCCAAGATTGAATAATTTTGCTCCCCTTCCAACGTCAACCAAGAAAGTGGTTGGTTTCGCCCCACCAACAAAAGCGGTTTCGGTTCGGCCTATCCAATCCGCTGGCCGTGGTAACAGGACACTTGGAAGCCCATTGTTGGCACTTCCCGTGTTGAACGCCCCCAAGCGTTTTCCGGTTTGTCCATTTGCCGTTGTTTCTGGTCTTGCTTCCCTGCTTGTGGGGGGGGGGCAACTGTTTTCCAGCTTTTCTATGCGCCGTTCTCTCAAAAACCGCCACAGAATCATGTGTTTCCGTCACCAACGCCGATGTGCCCATTGTGCTAAAGCTTCTCCAGGTTCAGTCCCTAAGGGTCCAAATACCTTCTAAGGAGGTACTTTGACCCTTTTTAACCCTGAAAAACCATCCTCAAGAGGTAAGACACCCTTTGGGATTGTCTCTTGTTCCTTTGAAGTGTTTTTTTTTCCATTCTTTTTGCAGGGGTTCGGACTTGGAGAGCTCACTGGTGCCAAAATGGTCAAATCCACTTCGCGCCGGGAATCGATGGCTGAGAAACCATGGGATGTTTTGTTGTTTTTTCCTTTTACAGTAACGTTGGGGAATCGAAGCAGTCCTATTTCTGAACGAATAACAATGGGTTCGTTGTTTTTTTTACAGTAACGTTGGGGAATCGAAGCAATCCAACTTGCGTTTCTGTGGTGCGAAATGGATTTCGCAACCATCCACAGTACCAGGTCGTCGAGCTCTTCATGTTATCTAAATCTGACTCCGACACGGATGAGTGCCCCGATCAGTTTGCTTGACTTTCATCTTTCTGTGTCACTCGTGACGAGCGGTTTTTCAATAGGCTGTGCCCCCCAAAGCATGGTTGTTGTTGGGAAACATTTTACATGTTTGCTTATTGTGGCTTAGTGGCGGAAATCCAACCACTTAACTGCCAAGATTGAATAGTTTTGCTCCCCTTCCAACGTCAACCAAGAAAGTGGTTGGTTTCGCCCCACCAACAAAAGCGGTTTCGGTTCGGCCTATCCAATCCGCTGGCCGTGGTAAAAGGACACTTGGAAGCCCATTGTTGGCACTTCCCGTGTTGAACGCCCCCAAGCGTTTTCCGGTTTGTCCATTTGCCGTTGTTTCTGGTCTTGCTTCCCAGCTTGTGGGGGGGGGGCAACTGTTTTCCTGCTTTTCTATGCGCCGTTCTCTCGGAGGCGAGCCTTGCGGCCCGGGGAACCGCTTCCTGGTGGCGTCCCCGCTGGGCCGAGGCGGACATCGGTCGAGCGAGTCCCTCCCTTCGTCGAAGGGAAGCCAAAAGGAGCTTGGTACCACTGGGGTCCTTATTTTGACCGCTGCAAGGGGGTCAAACTCAGACACTGGGGTTGTTGTTTCCCTTTTTGTTGTGACCGTTTCCAGAAGAAGTCGGAAACTGTGTCCCGCAACCAATGTGTTGAACAGGGGTGACTTTGGCTAAGCAAGTGGACTTTGTAGGAGTCCCTTACCCGTGGATCGGTTTATCGGTTTGGGTTTCGCTCGCAAAGTCTTCATCCGTCCAAGCGGAGAGATTCCCTGGAATTGCAAAGAGGGACCCCTTCTGCTATCGAAGTTCCTAGAGTCTCCTTCTGACCCTTTAAAAATGATTGGTCATGACCCCGGAAAGTTTTGGGAAATGACCCCACTTTTTAAGGGTCATGGAGAGTCTAGGTTTGGTCTTTGAGCGCAAGATTCGCGCCACTTGGATTGCTGAGACACCTGGTTTCTGCCCTGTTTTCGACCCATGTTCGGTACTATTGGACTCCTCAAGTTGGAGTTTCGTCAAGGAGATGTTCTGACAACTTCGAGTGGGGGCTGGGAGGGAGGGGAATGGGAGGGCGCCCGAAGTAAGGCCGATTTGGGCTTAGTAGAGGCTGATTTGGGCTCCCTCCCCCTCCCCTCCCTCCCAGCCCCCATGAGACAGAGTTTCCTAGGCGATTCGAGCCGTGAAGATGCTCGAACTTCCTTCTTCTCACCTGCCCAAAGCGAATCGGCCTGAATTCACCTTTTGGTTTCCCTTTTTTTGGCAACCCTGTTTAGTGGCCCCCAAAAGTCATCACCTTTTATTTCCGGATCCCTAGCTGCTGTAAGCTTCCTCATGGCCAAATCCGATTCGATGCCGTGGAATTTCGCGGGTGTCTCTTTCACATCCAGACCCAACAGGGCGCGTGGTTTTGCCGAGTCGGTGCAAATATTATCCGAAGGCGCTGGGCGATATTTACGTTCAGGTCCTTTGGGCAAGTGGAAAACTGTTGGCTGTGCCAGATATGCAATTGCTACAACTCATCGATTCAAGCATTGGTCCAAGTATATGCAGTAGTGTATGCTCCAGGGAGCATGGGGGGGAATAGAGGGTAAGCGAAGTTTGACCGTGTCTCACAAGACTTGCTTCATCTCTTGTCATATGATATTGCCATTCCGTTATCCTCTGAGGGTATGCAAGCATCTTACAGCATGGTCAGCATTGATCATGCGCTGAATGAATCCCCAGCTCCCTATCGTATGTTCAGCCCACTTGGTAAGTTGGTGATAGCCATGGTTACAACTGGGATAACTTCAGCTGGTTGACATCGTATGCCAACGAACTGGGGTGGTCCCAGTTGTAACCAAAGAATAATCAATGTCATAATTCCGATAAGTAGTAGCCTACTTACTGGTTTGCACCTGGTTTAGACTCCCTTTTTGGTGTAGAATTGCTGTTTGACAAGAACTGAGGCAAACAAGAACAGTATATGCCATCTATTGCTGAAAGCATTTTAGCATCTGGTGCCATCTCTCCAACGCTCTTCAACTAAAAAGTAGAATTGGACCATAAGTTTTAGCTGGAATAGGCAGTCCCCCCTTTTCTCAGAATCTCCTTGAAGACCAAGGTTGAAATCTCCGAGCTTCAGTATGATCAGCTGAGAGTTCGGGATTGAGCCCTTCTCCAAAATTCGATCAGGCAGATTTGACCAGACCAGAAGAACCACATTTCGCACCTTGCAAGAAAGCTCTCTTTGTTCAGAAGGCCGAGCATTGTGACGGAGAATCGCTTTTACGCGCAGATTTGGGCGTTCGGAGCACGCCGCTCAGGCTCCTTCAGCAGTGTTTTCCGGTGTTCCGACACCCAGGGCGGCGGCAAGGACGGGCTTTGGTTTCTCGACCGAATGGTTGATACGCCAAAGCCGTCTGGATGTCTTTCTTAATATACTTGGTGGCTCCCAGCCATCCCGTTTTTTAAGGCTTTTTCGGGTATTTTTTCGGGTTGGGTGGCCATTTCACCCACTAAAATAAGCTCTTTCTTTCAGCAGATGCGAAAACGGGCCCAGGTGAGGTATCCACGGCGACCCCACGACCTGAAAAGACAAACCCAGTTTGCTGACCCGCCGCTGCAGTTCCGATGGCTGATTGGCCCAGAAATGTTGGACTCTTCCAGGGATATATAGTTAAATATATATATATATATATATATATGCACCCCCCCCCCCCCCCATGGACCCGGGTTTTACTGCCTTTTGGGGATGGGGGTACCATATATATATATATATATACACATGGGGCTGTCTTTTGTTCTGGGGGTTCCCTCTTTGTGTTCTGGGGGTTCCCTCTTTGGCTGGGGGTTCCCTCTTTGGTGTGCCTGCCCGCATTCAAAGACCAACCTCAGACAAACACGCACAGAGTGCCCATCTGCGCTCACCTTTCGTGAACTCCGCGTACTGAATGCAACTTGGGAACGATTTCGCGGAATCAGTTCGAGAAGACTTCCAAGAACTCAGGACCTCCTTGTGCACGGAGGTGTCCTTCATCTTAGGATCCACCCATAGCTGTTGCAGTTTCGCTTCAGGGCTGAGAATTTTCGGATTTCAGGAAACGCAGGACCCCATGAACGAAGGGCTTCAGTTGGTGTTCAACCTACCGGGGGCTTCGCGGGATCAGAAGCCTATGAGAACTCGCATGGCGAACACACGCGGCAGAGACCGGCCGTGTTCGCGCAACCTGGCAGACCCTGCGGCAGGACGACAGAGTTATACCTCCCAGGTGATCTTGTTCTTTGGACACCACGTCAATCCAGCAGAGAAGCAAATACCCAGAGGGTTGGGGGCAAACATAAAGACACCTGGTCAAATACATCTGATTAATGTAGTGAGGCATGCTCCAAAGCTCCGATCAGATACCACTTGATCCTCCAAGAGATAGATCTGGAGAAGCAGGAACAAAGAGAAGCGTGGATCGACCATGGTTTCCGCTTCCTCCAACCCACTAGGGATAATGTCGGGTAGGGGCCCTACGAAATACAGACAAGCCTTCTCTATGTCTCTTCACCAACCTTAAAAAAGGGGTATAGAGCTGTACATATTTGGTATCTCTAGAGGTTGGAAGCGTGTTCTGAACCCACTGCCTTGGAAGGTTTTTGGGGTAGACCTTGGAACGAACTCGTGTTTGTAGGCTTCTCAGGAAGTGTTTTGGGGAAGAACACCCATATCTGCAAAAGGAGGGGTTTTGGGGTCCCATGGTAGGTCTGAGCGGCAATTCGTGAGCTTGGCTGCTATGAAGATCTGCCCCAAATCGCCTCTGAGTGATGTACTGGGAAACACCTTTGTGTGTCACAAACGGTGAATGTGCCCATTGGGATGGTTGTCAGGGAAGGCAGGGAAAAGGGTACCAGCCTTGAAGGGGACCCGATTTTTTTCCCGAGAAAGACCTGCATGTCTCATGGTGTTTGCCGTTGAAGCTGCTCCGAAATGACCAGGTTGGCTAATCCAGCCCTCCTTTTCACGTTCCAAGGTTGTTGTTGGGAAACATTTTACATTTTTGCTTATGGTGGTTTTGGTGGTTGAAATCCCCACGTAGCTAACTGCTAAAACAATAAATTCGTTTGCTCCCCTTCTAACGTCAACCAAGTGATTCTCAGTTGTTCAGTGGCACCAATTATTTTTCCATTTTTTTGGTGGCTGCCCCACTAAACATGGTCTTCTCCAAAAAAGGGTTCCCTTTTTTTCCAGGGTCACCGAACAACCAAGTGATTCGGTCGAGCCAAAGGGCTGGGGTTTTCCATCAGCCGAAGCTCCAGGAGTACGCGGTGAAGTTCATCCGCGACAACCCGGGGCTGCGGAAAGCCACGGAGCGCCTCGTCGAGCGATGGAGCGCCGGAGTCGATGGAGCTTCTCGAACTCGGCCGAAGCGGTGCACGGCTCAGCTTTCAAAAGGAAGTTACAAGACATGCGGGGCACGCAATTTTCGTTTTTTGAGAATGGAAGTCATAGTAGGTCTCCAGGGTTTACTACCTGTAGGTCTTGCAGACCTGCTACAGCTCTGCCAAAGCACGCACTGCCTATGATCTTGCGGGTCTCGGGGACTGTCAGCTGACCCTTACACGGTTGTTGTTGGGAAGCATTTTAGAGTTTTGCGTATTGTGGTTTAGTGGTTGAAATCCCCCACTGAACTGCTAAACTTTTAATTCTTTGCTCCCCTTCCAACGTCAGCCAAGCTTATGGCTTTGTTTCTTAGATCCGCCAGAATGGCTGCTTTCGCGGGAGCATTTTGATACCAATAGCCCCAAAACGGCGCCCTGACCGTACTGAGCCTGAAGAATATGTAAAGGCTGGAGTTCTTGGATCTTTGGACTTTCACTCGTTAGGCGCTGTGTATTTTCCGTTGGATCTTGGTTCTTTGGACTCTAACTTGTTGGTGTAAACGTTTGCTTTGTTTTCTTCTCACTTCCTGAGTCCATGGGCTTTATACTTTTTGGGAAGACCATTTTAGTGGTACACAAAAAGTTCGGACTTTTTTTGGGCCATCCACTCGGGAAGAGAGTCTTTCAAAGTGGATCCACTTTTTGCAGAGGGGTTGTCAACCAGCCACCAAGTCATCAGGCTCTTAGTAGGGCTGGGAGGCCGGCCAGGCCTTTCGAAGCGTCTAGGTCTCTAGGTGGCAAAGCGCCCAGCTAGCACTAGCTCCAGCTAGCACTAGGGTAACCAGGTGTACACATACCTCATCACACCTCAAGGTTGAATGTTGACCTCAGCTTCATCAACCAACCAGTTTATTCAATTCCAAAAGTGGTCTGATTCCAACCACTAAACCCAGCTGGGGTCGACATTAGCCTGCTCCCCCACCAAAAACTCGGTGTAGTTCCCAATCCGGTTTCCATCCGGTCGTTAGCTTTCTAGTTGATTTAGTAGCAATTTCCGTCTTTAACCCACTAAAATTGACCAAACAAACATGCAGGGCATCGTTTTGGAAAGCCCAGTATACATCCAATTGAAAGCCGGCAGGATCCGGCTGTCGGTTGCGACAGAGAGAGCATTCCTTCACCCCGGCATCCCCCCAGATCTCTTCCGTTTGACCATTTCCCCAGGCAAAGTCAATGTGGGACCGAGTTTATCCGATTTTCCCTCCACTTGCGTCACCCTTTTTGATTCTGAGTATCAGATGGGACGTCATGCGATTTGGGTTGGTACCGTGCACTGAAGCCAACCCATCCGCCTCTTTCCAAGTCCGGCTGATGCTCCAAGCGCAGGGCGGAAGTGCGGCTAATGCGGCGGATCCGCACCAAGGCCCCGTCTCCTTTTTTTGTGATTTTCCCCTTTTTCGGGTCCTTTTTTCTCCCTTCTTTCTCCATGTTTTCTCCTTTTTGGGTGACAAGTCTTGTCTCCCCCCCTTTTTTCTGCCCCCCCTTTTTTGTTTCCCCTTTTTGCTTCTTCGCGCTTCCGGCGGTTTTCATGTGGTATGCCCGCTTTTGGGACTGTGAAGCACCATGTGGGGACATGGGGCGGGGTTTACTTGGCGGTCAATACAATACCTAGCAAGAAGCGGTATACTCAAGTGAAACCCGGAGCTACCACTGTTTTAAGCCTTGCACTGAGCTTTGTGTTCTCGAATACCCGTCTTGGGTTTTGTTTTGTCTGATTCACACTTGATTCGGAGCTTGATTGGCTTGATCCGTAGGGTGGGTTTTGTGCGCCCCGAACTCGATTTCGAACTTTCATTTGTCTACCAACATGTTGGATCAATGTACTTAACGGGACATCTTATGCACTTTTTTTTTGTTTTTTTAGCAAAGTCTCAAGACGGTAGATATTCCCGAATTGTTTGACAGTCAGCATTTGAAAATTTGCGTATGGGTTGACATGCTCAAGCTTCAGTCCAAAACCAAACCACATTAACCCCTTGTATTGTCATACTTCCTGCCAACATTTTGGCTCAATACAAGGGTGAACTTTCGCGAACCTGTCTTTGTGGGTGTCGCGCCGAGTTTTAGCTTGACAATCTCGTGAGAAAAAATAGTGGTTTCCAATTTCTGGAGATTATACATGTTCTCTTCAATCTTATCCACTTTCATTTTGTAAGTTCGCGCTTTGTGTTGTGTTTTGGTTGGCTGGCCCTGGACATTGTCCTCGTTCATCCCGAACCCCACTGTTAGGCTTTGATTTCGTTTGCACGTTCATGCTTGTTACCAGAACTATGGCTGAATCTCGTCTTGCTTTGTGGGTTTCGCACCTCATTTGAGCCATATGAGTTTTACGGGTTTGTGAGCGATGTGTGGTTTGCAAATTGTCGCGATGGTAGATTTTGCCTCTAAATGTCATGCCTTTCAAAAGTTGTACATTTACAGGGCTCCTTAAAGGATACATTTTGCAACCATTTGAAACATGTTGCTTGTTCAACACCAAAAGAAAGTTGGAAACCACCATTTACAAGTTGCAATGTTCAGGTGTATAATGTAAGGATCCCTGATTTTCATTCTTTGCTTTGTTCTCGTTGGATGAACCTTGCCTTCTTCAAGTTTCCTGAATCCCAGCGTGGTTCTGCCAATGCAAGACGTGAACATATGGAACCCCCTTTTGGGGGTCCAGTCCATTTCTGTAAGTCAGAGGGATCCGATGTGATGTTGTTCGGTTGAGCAAATACGAAACCCTATCAAATATTGTTTAGCCCTGGGGTTCGGCCATTACGTAGGACCCCCAGAAACAAACGTGTTCTCCTGGTTTCCCTTTAAACCAATCTTAAGATGGCCCTCTGAAAGTATCTTACCCCAAGCAACCCCCTTTAAAGGAGTATTCCTTTTGATGCTTTTACCCTCCCACCACTTAACATGGAACTTGACAAGGGGTCCCTTTAAAAGGAACATGGTCTTCCAGGACCCTTCCCAGCCATCCGCCCATCCATCCGCCCATCCATGAAGGAAAAACCCAAGCAACCGCCACCAACAGCCACATCCACCCATCCATCCGGAAGGTTACTTTGGCAAAGTATCCCATTTTGATACATGGATGCAGCAAGCTGGCGAGAAAAAACAAACAGAACAAGAGAAGAACACTGAGGAAATGAACACACAAACCAAAAAAACAACACAAAAAGACAGAGGGAACCCGCCACGAACGTCCGCGTCCATCTCTTTGCGAAGGCGGCGGAGAAGGACGCGGAGGGCGCCAGCTGCTTGCTGCACCTGGCCTGCGTGGCGCCTTGGCCCGACGGCCAGGGGAGGGGTTTTGGGTTTTACCCAAAAATAGGGACCCTTGGAGTGGGGTCCTCGTGTTTTGTTTTTGTTTTTTCCCCAATAGGTTTTTGTTTTGTTTTGTTTTATTTTTTTGTTTTTCCCATTTTTTTTGTTTTTGTTTTGTTTTTGTTTTTGTTTTTGTTTTTTGAAATCTTTGGGGTCTCAGCCCAGATAGGCTCCGGGGTGGGGCGGCCCTGAGGTAAGGTTCCACGAGGGTTCCACCAAGATTCGACGAGGTTCTGCGAGGGCTGCGGGTGGCGCGGGCACTAAAAAGAGCACCGTATGCTGTTGGGGATTTCACCTGAGCTGTTTATTTTATTTTATTTTTTGTTCTTCCATTTTTTTCTCCTCCTTTGCCTAAGTGGAGAGAAGTTGTTTGATGACATCAAGTGGGTATGGGTCTTGGTAACACAAAAAGAAATCTGGGTCGCAAAATTCAGTGTGAACAATGTCGTGTTTCCGGGAAGTCCGCGTGGCCCCAGTTCACCCACAGACAAGGACACCCTAAAAGGGCTAAAGCAGGGTTTCTCCAAAGCTTCACCAGGTCTTTGGAAGGTTTGGGTTGTCTTTGAGTGAGCTGCCGCCTTTCCTGGTTTTGTAGCAGGCTGGAGCCTTTCGGAGCTGGAGGTATCCGACTTTGGGCCTTTTTTGGATTTGTGTGTGTGTGTGTGTTTGTGTGTCTGTGTGTTTGTGTGTTTGTGTGTTTGTGGGTTTGTGGTTTGTGCGTTTGTGGGTTTGTGGGTTTGTGGGTTTGTGTGTTTGTGTGTTTGTGTGTTTGTGTGTTTGTGTGTTTGTGTGTTTGTGTGTTTGTGTGTTTGTTTGTTTGTTTGTTTGTTTGTGTGTGTGTGTGTGTGTGTTTGTGTGTGTGTGTGTGTGTGTGTGTGTGTGTGTGTGTGTGTGTGTGTGTGTGTGTGTGTGTGTGTGTGTGTGTGTGTGTGTGTGTGTGTGTGTGTGTGTGTGTGTGTGTGTGTGTGTGTGTGTGTGTGTGTGTGTGTGTGTGTGTGTGTGTGTGTGTGTGTGTGTGTGTGTGTGTGTGTGTGTGTGTGTGTGTGTGTGTGTGTGTGTGTGTGTGTGTGTGTGTGTGTGTGTGTGTGTGTGTGTGTGTGTGTGTGTGTGTGTGTGTGTGTGTCTGTGTGTGTCTGTGTCTGTGTCTGTGTCTGTGTCTGTGTCTGTGTCTGTGTCTGTGTCTGTGTCTGTGTCTGTGTCTGTGTCTGTGTCTGTGTCTGTGTCTGTGTCTGTGTCTGTGTCTGTGTCTGTGTCTGTGTCTGTGTCTGTGTCTGTGTCTGTGTCTGTGTCTGTGTCTGTGTCTGTGTCTGTGTGTGTGTGTTTTTGCTTGAAAGCGCGCCAAACATGTTTTTGGGAGGGGTTCTATGTTGAGAATCAAAACGAGAAGGTTGACGGTTGAGGGGGACTATAGGGGAGTCATGGGTTCCTTTAGGAGGTTTGTTGGAGAGTGTGGAGGGATGTACACAAACTGCGTATATCAACTATAACTAGACTATAACTCTTGTAAACAAAACGAGTGCACCGGGCACTCAGCTTGAAAGTCGCACAGAACATCTTACCCTAGTTCCCATGTTGGTAGCTTAGGGACTGTTCCCTTTAGGTTGCACATGGCGGGTTTCTTTGGCTTCCCGGACGCATGTTTCACCAGCGTCAGGTAAGTACTGACCGTTATTAACTTTGCCCGTCTGTTCCGGCACAAATCTGTCCAGAAAACCAGGGCACGGGTGGTTTTTGGGTTTGTGAAAAGGGCGAGGAATGGGCAGTCATCTCCAAGAGATACAGAACGCCTTTGCTGGATCTGTCAAAGTGACCCGTTTCAAAGTCAGCTTGTTGGGTCACCGGGTATTGTTTCACAAACGCTTAATATGAACATTTGTACATGATACTGTTTGTGTGCGTGGTTTGCATGTATAAATCCGTGGACAAGGAAGGGATGTGTAAGCGTGCAATTGTGCTGATGTGCTTATTGTGTTTGTGTTTGTGTGTATGATTGTGTATGCATTTTATGTGTATGTGTGTGCTCTTCTGTGTTTGTGTGTGTGTCTATGCATATTTGTGCTTTGCTGTGTTGTTTTGACCCTTGGTGTAATTGCTTGTTGTTCATGTATTGTTGCATCTGTGTGTTGCTACGCATCTCTGTGTGTGTGTGTGTGTCTCTCTCGTGCCGTGGGGTAGTGCGGACATGTGCACTGACCCAGGGGCCAACGACACCATGGCACCAATCAACATCAGATGGCTGCGGCTCAAAGACATGGACCCAATATGTCCCCTTGGAAAATGGAAACAACGACTAAGACCTGCGGTTTGCCCTAGCGGATGAATTTATGAGCCACGGTTTGCTTCAGGGAGCATGCAACGCCCGCGCCCACGACACGCAGTTCCATGCTCTGTCAACTGACATGGCCGAGCTTACGACTTGGGATGCGTGCCATTGATTCGACAAGAAAGGCTTCTCAGAATCCTTCTACCCCTTGCATGAAGAATTTATGAAGCTTTTTCGGGGGCGCAGTTCACACATCCAGGTTGTTGGATGCCACCAAGGACAATCGGCACCAACAAGCACATGTATTTTTTTTTCTGTCAGGTGGTCGCCCTACGGAGGTGAGTTGTTGTACCAGTCAGTGTGTGGGTGTTTGGATACTAGGTCCCCCAGTAGTGCCCTTTTACCTTTTTTGGGGGAGGGTTCCCCTACTAAAATAGACTAATTACCGAAGAAAAAATCGGGTACCCATATTCTAACCTCTCTACTGGCGGACCTAGGATAAGTCCAAACTCCATACAGAAAGACAGCTGCCGCCCTACGCCAGTCCAGTCCAGTCATACGCAACGCCTTGATTTCCGGTGCTGAGGAAACCTTCTTGCACGGTGGGATGCTAGCCTGCACTAGGGCTGCGAACCTGCCGTTGATGGGACCTGTTTTACAGTGATGTTACATATGTAAGGTTCACTAAGTATGAACGAATGAAACTCCTACAGACTTCCATAACAAGATGGACTACCTCTTGCAGGAAACACCCTCGTCGCTCTCTCCTTTTATCCTCATGGATGTACTACAGTATGGCGAGCAGATGCCTGTTTGACGTCACTGAATGCATTCAACACATTTGACGGAGGCACACACACACACACACCGACCGGCCCTTGGTGGGACTCGAGAAGAACAGTTGCTCACAATCACGGACAACCCGTGCTTGAAATTAAAAATGCGCCAAAAGGAATCCAATGCAGTTTGGGAAGGCTCCACTTCGAATTGTGCCACCTAGTGGTGTAAGAATGGATATGTGCCATGCTTGTTTTGCAGTGGCTGATTAGGTGGTGGGGCGTGCATGCCGGCACGCACTGCAATATGAGCTACCACTAAAAGGGTCGGTTGGCAGTGGAATGGGGTAAAAGCCCCGAAAAACGAGTGCGAATCTTTAAAACGAGGGATCCTTGTTGGACATTTGGCGGCTTTTGCAGGGCACGAGCAGGTCTTGAAACAAAGGATAGACAAAGCCTAAACATATTGTTTCTGCCTAAAACGGTTTTGTGAATATTGATCTTTTGAATTGCGATAACTGAGTAGTGACAAAATTATGGGAAGGGACTACAAGACTGCACCACCAAAAGTCCTCAAAAACGAAGGCCAGCGATTAAAACCAGGGACTTGGAGATATCTCGGTTTGGCACATGTACGGGTTTTGGCGGCGGCTCCTATTACGGGGCAATTGCTGAATCAACCTTGATAGTGAAAGGACCAAGACACCCAACGATGAATACAGCGACGGTTAGTATGACGTGCTTCAATGTCATTATTGCTACATCTCATCTTTGAACTTCACGGCTTCGGCCTCCGTAGGAACAGGCGGTTCTTTGGTCGGAGTTCTTTGGTCAGCATTTGTTTATTTGCAGCAAGGGCATCATTAGTAAGGTGTTGGTCTAACATGTGACGGGGGGCACCCAGCTTTACCTCACTTGTCACCTTGTGCCACATAGGAATCCACCATGGGAACTGACAACCGCAGTCTATGATTGGGGGAGGCTATGACCCAAATTTCACGCAAAAGCTAAAGGGCCAACCTGGTTTTGCTATGCAGCTTGGTCCGGATTCATTGATTGCTCCTTGCATATCTTTCGTAGGAAGGTTGTTTGTTGCTTCGACATGTTTAGTCTTTCACAACACCGCAGCATATTTTCTGGTTGCAGAGGGTTTCCTTTGAAAGCATTGGCCGTGTGCCGAGACCTTCTATAGATAGAAGGACATCGAGAACAGTTTGTCGGGCTAGATCTGAGTGAAATGGACCATTTGCACTTCCGGTTCCCAGCAAGGGGTCTTACCTCTACAATTGCCATGGCTCTCCCTGGCTACTTTGCAGAATCGCAAGTGGAAGCACTGGGTGTGGGGAGAAAATACAGCATCCTCAGGACGTGTCCCAGCCATAATTTTCCGTTAAAGCTGGCAAAGAGGATGTGAATATCTATATTTGGTGCACGTACGGAAGACAGGGCTAGGTCGTTACTTCCATCGAATAATGTCAACATACACCATCGCACCGGGAGATCGAGTTGAATGTCCAGATCACCAGTTGCTACTCCCCATGTTGCCTCCTTGGTTCGACCATGGATGGTGTCCCCCTAGTCAGTTTGCCTCTGAGGTTTTACCATGGATGGTCTCTCCCGGTTGCCTACACTCATAGCATTCCTTGGTCTTGGCTTCAAGGGTCTCCATGTCGGAAAGCTGCGGAGGCATTTGGCGCTGATCTTCCACTTGCAGCCGCTTTTCCTGTTTACGAAACCGCAAATCAACGGGGGAAAAAAAAAGAGAGCACCTGGACCCTCAGAAGTCCAACTTATAACTGGGTTATCGCAACCCAAAGTTATGGTTGGTGTTTTTTTTTTTTAGTGCGTATTGTGAGGGTCCAGGCAGACAAACTGATGGTGCGCAACCAAAAATGCCAGCGGCTTCCCGTTTTCGGCGACTTGTCCCCAATGTCCGGGTCGATTTGGCGGGCTCACCAGCTTCTATTCAGGGTCAGGGTGGGATCACTCGGGGTTTATCCCCCACTTTTGTGATACTTTTGGGAATCTCTCCCTTTATATGGGGGGACATGTCCTTGGGGTTCGGCCCTTTTTGTTGTAGAGATCTGGATTCCATTTCCCACAGCCCTGATTCAGAGACTTTGGCCCCTCTCCTATTGAGATCGGTTTGTACTTGAACCGTGAATCTCCCAGTCAATTCCACCCCTGTCCCTCGTTGTTTGGTGGTTTCAACACTGCAGATGATCAACCCAATATGGGCTCCCTTTATTCTACCAGGCGTACAGGGTCATGATTAGGTTTGTGGAGAATCCCTTTGCGATAAGAAGGTGTGGGTGTAATTCGATAACGATTATGTTTTGCAATATTTGGATGCTTTAGACTGGCTACTGGCATCTATAGCCTTGTATTACAACCATCTAGCTCCAACCGAGAACGTTTACGTGGTGTTTGCATGTGGCTTTGTTTGAGGGGTCTGTAAGTTGTAGACCTTTTCAAAAGACATTTTCCTCGCCTGTACAATCGTGGTGGGAAAAATGCGCATTGAGTCAGCCTGAAGTGACCTGCCTGGCCCGTTCCTGCGGTTCTAGTTGGTTTTCTTTCTTGTTTTAGGGAACACCCAAAATTTGGCGGGTTTTTTGTTTGGGTTTCCCCTTTGAAACCATCAACAAAGGGAAAAGTACCAACAAAAAGGGAGGACCCACTCAGTTGCCTGCAAACTGCTGGGCTCTCAGTTTCTGTTTGCGAACATGGGAAGCGATTCAAAAGACGCCATTGACGCTAAAGAGGCCCTTTGTTGCACCGACCTTTGCGTGCAAACCTCAAGGCATATGGGTGTGTCGTTTTTGGGGAACCCCCTTGGTTGCGGGAAACGAACAGGAACGTCACTGTTTTAGGGGTTCGAACCCTGATTGTGCGACAGATTTACATGCACAGTGCGCAAGGAGCACGCAAGGCATATGTAAATCAAGCTAGCGTTCAGCGGCTTTAAGGAACTCTCGGTTGATACCGCCAAAGCTCCATGTTAACGTCGCCATTCGAATTGTAAGGTTTATGAATAACCTTGGGGCGCCCTGCTAAGGTGTTCACCCTTTCTATCAGAAGGTTCGATCAGAGTCCTTCTCGGGGTTCTCTAGCAAGTACGCTACATGATATGCTCCCGAGAGGCTTGGGCAAACGCACAGCCATGTGTAGAATGGGTGTGTCTTTCTTGTTGAGGGTGCCCCTTGTTTGGTGGTTTTGCAGGAAACCAACAGAAAAGAACTCACCCTTGTGGGGGGCGGTCCGATTCCTAAAAGGAAGACGAGCCAATCAAGTTGGTTGACCACTCCCAAATTGATGTCCACTGATCCACGTCTGATGAAGCTTCCCTTTTGCGGGCTTCCATGGAGCAAGTGTCAATTGTAACAGCGAGGCGAAATGTCAAGGAGACTCCTCCACGATGTCCGACCTGTTGACCTCTTGGGTTCCCTTGTTTGGTCCATGTTTTTTGGTGGCCCCAAAAGGTGAACCGTTCACTCTGGGTCCAAAAAGGGGCAACTGAGATGATGGTTCGAGATTTCCCCTATGTTTTGGTGCTTGTTTTTGTTCGTCCACTCGGATGTCGGCGTCCGAGGCGCTGTGACTTGCGCGCCGCCTTGCGGCAACAGCGCCATTTCGCCCTGCAGGACGTTGCCTTTGCCTCGGTTTAGGGATTGTTTACATGTGTGTGTGTGTTTTTTGAGGGTCCCCCTTCTGGATTGGTTTAGAGGAACACCAAGAGGAAAAACACGTCGTTTTTGCGGCCCTCTATTTTAACAGTCGCACATAGTGTCAAACTAAACAGAGGAACCTTGCAAGTGGTTGCTTGATCCGCTGGCCCGGTGTTTCTGAGTGCATCCCGGTTCTCCCGGTTTGGCAGGTCATCAACCAATCGGTCAGTTTTCACTGAGTGGGTTCCCTTCCCAGGTCCAAATACCTTTTGAGGGTGGGTTTTTGAGGGGTGAAAAGGGGGTCGTTCAGTAGACCTTAGGTATTTGGACCCGGGCTTGGTGGACGAAGGATGTGCGGCGCTATGCCGGCGACCTGCTGCGGGCGCTGCGCTCGCTGCGGGCCATACGGACGGAGAGATGCATGTCTCAGTTTTGTTTTTTTGTTTCTGTGTGTGTGTGTGGTTGTGTCCGGTTTGTGAATAGTAATCTGTCGAAAGAGGCACATCTTTCATGGTGTTTCATGGTCACTCACACACCTTTTACTTGAGGGCAAGAAGAACTGAGTAGTAAAATCGTAGGGTCGGCAGTATTGAGATTGTTCTTGTAGAAGTGCCTGTGAACCTTTTGACCGGCACATAAGTCTCCCAAAGGATCATGAGAAGACTCGCCCATGGGATTGAAAGAGCAAGCAAATGGGGCGCAAAACGGGAGTGCCCTTTGATTCGACACGCATGACACGGAGGGCGCTTTGGTTTCAGTGTCATATTCAGCAAATGAACGAAATCCATTTCGCACCACGAAAGGAAACCATGGTTGAAGCCATAACGTTTGTTGCTATTTTTGTTGGGGAATCGAAGATTTCCGTTGGGTTTCTGAGTTCGGTCGTGCGAGTTCCGCGGATTTCGCCACCATCCATAGTATTCAAACGTCAGTCCCAAGTCCTAAGACTTCAAGTTTTTTCTGTGGGATGGGAGGGGGGTGGGTGGGGTGGGTGGGTGGGTGGGGGGGGGCCGCTTGCTGTTTGGTTTCCACCAAACAAAGTGGACGGGCTGCGAAGTTTGGGTGCCGAGAAGAACCCGGCTCGGCCCCATGTGTTAAGCTGTTTGCATGGTGTTCCGAACATGTATCGCTCCCAGTTAAAAAGCAAAAATAACAGCTTCCTTCTCGGTTCTTAGGGTCTGCTTTTTACGGACGGAATGGATTGTGCCAGGATCATTCATACGGACATCAAGCCCGACAATCTGCTACTGTCCTTGGACAAGTCATCCGTGAAGCTCTCGGATTTCGGCTGCGCTTTGGCCGAGCAAGTCGGTCACTCAGGTCTGGGCCATTTTTTGTTCCTCGGGCAAAGCGCAACAAATGGGTGCATGAAAAGACTGTAGTGCATCAACCAAGGAGTTCATAGCAGCGGGCCATACCCTCCCTCTCTCGCTCTAGATATATATATATAGGTATTCTATATTATGTAATGGACATGCATTTAGCCTTTGCTGAAGGCGGTTTGCTCGTTATATCCGTGTATTGGGGTTTGGGTGAATGAGCCTCATTGTCCTGAGAGGGCTATATTTTTTGTTGTTTGAACAGTGGCACATCTTGCGAGTAAATGACAATACTGGTAGAGCGCAGGCTGCCTTTGCAAACGAGGAGCCAACAAAGAAATTATGAATTGTTTGTTTGGGGACGACACGCAATTTTCCCAAACATCAAAAGGCCAATCGCAAGAATGTGTTGTGTCGGTGGCCGGCTGCTCGGTTTGGGGCTCAACAAGTTCTAGATTGCGAGGGTCCTGACGGTCCGGATGATCTTGATGTGACGTGTTGGATGGGACTTGTTTCTATGGTCGCGCTGCTTCTAAGGTTCAAGTAAGATCAGCACCCACAACCACGATCAGGTTTTGTCCAAGAATCAGGAAACCCGTGACAATGGTTCTGTTTCTTTCGATTTGCCGGGAACTGTGGAACCACCAACAGGGGGTCCCACAAAAGGACACACCCATAATATGTTTGTTGGTGGCACTGACTGGCTGAATCAGGTTGCAACAAGAGCATCTCACATCTCAGCAACCTGTCCAGACGAGCGCTTCTAAAACACGTAGTAGTACACAGTCAGTTGATTTATGTCAATGTGGGAGGGACATGGGATGACTAAATGTCCCACCAAAATATTGTGCAGGGAATTCCATGGCTTGTGTGCATGGGTCGAGTGCTTAGGTGCCATTGACACGGAAGAGAAGGCCAATCTCACCCATATCCGCCGAGCATACTCCAGCAGCTACTTGCACGTGTGATTTGTCTTCTTCCCCCCAGCCCGGCCTGGCCCGTCCCTCCCTCCCTCCCTTCTTCCTCCATGTATCTTTTTGCCCGAACAGGCAGGCATCATCATTTTGACATTAGGGGATATGAAAGTCGGAAACTGGGGTTGGCTCCCTTTTTCTTACCTAGGGATGTCTTGGATGGTAAAACAATGAACCCAGACTTTTGGGGTCCAGATGCCCAAATCAGCTCCGTGGTTCAAAACCCTGGGGCGGTTTTTTGGGCGCTGAGAGGAGACCCGGTTCACTAAATCTTGACCGGACTCGAAACACGTTTGTGTGATCCCCACCAAATGGTGTGGTTTACCTTCAAAACCACAAAGCAACGGGGCACCCTCAAAACTTGGTGGCTCCCAGCCATTTAGCTTGTTAGCCTTTTAGTGTTTCGTGGTAGTTTCCATTGAACCCACTAAAAGTTAAACTTTTAGCGGGGGATCTGAGGGCAGCCCAGAAAAAAGACACCCATAGTATGGTTGGTCGAAATCTCAGGTATCTGCTTCTGGCTTGCCCCATTCCCCTTCACCATAGCTTCGTTTGGACCCACAGCCAATATAAAGCCGCCAACGAAGCAGAAGCTTTCTGTTGGCGCCGTCTCTGGCCCAAGCTGGGAACGAGGGCGGTTTCAACAGACCGCACCTGAGAACAGGCAACAGGATGAGAACCAATTTCTCAGTTCTTCAGTGGCACCAAATATTTTTCCCTTTTTTTGGTGGCTGCCCCACTAAACATGGTCTGCCCCAAAAAGGGTTCCTTTTTTTCCAGGGTCACTGAACAACCAAGATTTTCTTAGCGGGTGTCAAGATCTTCAGAACCTACTCGGAAGTCCTGAAAATGCATCAACATGCACCCGAGGCCTGCAAGCTTGTGCTTGAGACACGGACTCCACTTGGCCACCTATTGTCCTAAACCAAACTCTCTGGCGTCAGGATGGCAGAGAACCACCAATCGTGCTTTTGTGTTTACTCTTAAGTTTGTATGTTTGCTCTTAGGGCGTCCCATGTGTTTGTCCGATGTGTTTTCTTCTTCTTCCTTTTTATCGTTAATTTAAATTTACATGTTGGGTGCTGGAACCAACATGAAAGCTACGTTTGGCAAGCCCCGATCTGAACCAGTCTGAGTGATCTTGCTATGCGCAAGGCTACCGTGCGCCGGAGATCATCCTCGGGCAGTCGCATCTTTGCTGCAGTCTCGTGAGGCCACGACCAAGCCGTTGACGTTATGCGGAACTTCATCCCACTTAGCAAGGTTGTTACAGTCGCCCGAGATCTACTCGGACATCTTAGGTGAGTGCCCTTCAACTCATACTCTTAAATGACATAATTACCAACTGCCTTGGATATGTAATTAATAGTGAATCGTGAGCAACATACCAGGCTGCTGACTGCGGGCGCACAAAGGGCCTTTGCTGGTTGCCGGTTTGTCAAGGATCTTCCAGTTACCACTGTAGTCGGACACCAGGAGCATCCATGTGAGTGTGTGGATTAGGGAATGTTTCCCCAAACCAACTTTCGTGTGGGTGTGGAAATGAAGCGGTGACCTTGGGAACTCTTGACCGATCGGTTTTGGGTTATTTTGGTAGCGATCAGTTTGATGATGACTCACGAGTTTGTTTGTTGGGGGCTGGCTGGCTGACTGGCTGGGTGTCAAGCCGGTTGTTGTTGGTATTGGTCGTTTTTCCCGTTTTTTTTGGTCTTGTTTTCGGTTTTGATTATGACTCAGATGAGTTTAGAGTTCTTCCTCCTTTTCCCTTCTTTTTTTCTGTGGCTCAGGTACAGCACACGAGCAGACATTTGGAGCTCCGGGGTCACGCTCTTCGAGCTGGCGCACGGAAAGCTGCTCTTCGCCCGGGCCCCGACGGAACGCGAGTGACGAAACCGCTGGGTACCCGAAGGCTTTGCCGCTCGAGGGCCGATGGCTTTTTTTAATTGACTGCTCTTGGGTTGGTTTAGCTTAGACTTTAACGTTTTTGGTTGAAGTCAAGAGGGTTTTCCAGTAAACCCAGAAGAAGTTCAGGACTTGTTTTTGCAGAGCGGTCGACAGAAACCAAGTTTAGGACCTGTAACAACAGGATTTCCCTTTGCTTGCCGGCGAAAAGAAGACAAGCCCTGGGAGAACAAGCCCTGGCTTGGCACGGGGGTTCCCTTCTTGCTTGCCGGCAAAAAAGAAAAGCCCTGGGAGTAGCCGTGATAAAGAAAACAACCTATTTGTGTTCCCATAAAGGGTGTGTTGTGTACCCGGAATAAGAAGGGTGCCCAGATCGCCACAAGCGAGTGCTCGAGGTGGAGCAGATTTCGGTATGGGTATATGAGGCAAAATCCGGGACCCCCCCCAACAAAAGGACCAAACAAATACAATGGTGGGGTGTGTAGTTGGGGCCCGACGATGAGGTAGCCCTCAGGATTTATGTTTTAGTTTTGGTATTCCTCCATTTCTGCAACCACCAAACAATGACATGTGCCAGTGTGACTGAGTTTCACCAGGCAGGCAAGCAAACAGACAGAGACAGGCAGGCAGGCAGGCAGGCAGGCCGGCAGGCAGGCAGACAACGAGGCAGACAACGAGGCAGGCAACGAGGCAGACAACGAGGCAGACAACGAGGCAGACAACGAGGCAGATGAATAGATAGGTAGGAATGAAGGATAGTCAAATCGGTAAGTACATTTGTGGAGCAAACAGAGTGGCGTTTCTGATCATATACGGTCTTGTCGGGTTATCTCTGATCCAATCCGCACAAGACTCCTCTGAAACCGGTGGGTTTATGTCCATGTAAATCTGCTTGTCAGGATCATCATTGTTTTGCGTGTGCGATAGGTAGGGAATGACCTTCCGGTTTTTTTGGGGATGGACCCGTTTCAGGTTTTGGGGGATGAAAGAAAACCGCAGATGCTTTTTCTCGGGGTCATTTGGGTATGGGTCAAAATTATACCACCAGGAATTTGACCACAGGTTTTGGTCATTGTTTCCATTTACCAGGGTGCCATTTTGGGGTTACCCTTGTTTTGACCACCACAGCCATTTGGCCACAACGAGACGAGCAAAATTGAGGCTTCCATGCACAACCAAGAGGGAGGTTCCAGAAGACACAACACACAGTATACATGAATATGGGTACCTATGTTTGACAGCCACAGCCATTTCATGTTTCATTTTCCGCCTGTCGAACCAGCAAGTTCTTCCTCTCGCTCATGGCCAAAGCCTTCGCTAGGGCCCATTCACCAGCCCCCATGCACCAGAGCCCAAGTGACCCACCTGCTCAAAACTGATCCGGGTAGATGTAGGTTGGGCCTCTTGCAAGTTTGCCGCTTCAGCTGAAGACACGCAAACGTATCGGTAGTTTGGATTGGTGGTGTGAGCCACAATCAAAACCGATTCGGGCAGATGAAAGTTAGTAAGGGACAATCCCCTTGCCATAAATAGCTGCCATTTTTGTAACGGGTTTTGATTGTGACTCAAGTTCCGGTTGTCCTTTGTTTTGAAGGGAGGGTTCCCAATCATCCAGCAAAAGCAGGGTGCCCTTTTGTCTTCTCCCATGGCCACTCGTGAGCAGCCACAAGGCCTGGTAAGAATCACTTCAACTGAGCCCATGTGCTGTTGACTTGTTGGGCTTAAGAAGGTTTCTGCTAACAGGGACAGTCATGTGTGTGTTTTCTCCAACAGAGGCGACAATCCCATTTGGAATGAGCCCTGCACAATCGACGGATCTCGGAACTCCATTTCACGGCAGCAAAAGCGAACTCTTTTCTGTCTCAGGAGGGTGCCAACAATGCCATCCTCTATGCGGCTTGGCGAGATTCCAAGCTTTCTGACGTGGGCTGCAGATATGTTTATGGCAGATGTCCATGTCGGACCAAAAGTCAGCTCAGGTGTTGCGAGTGTCACAGAGCCAAAGCCGAGGTAAGTGCGGTCCCAACCATGATCCGTGGGTGAGATTATCTGCATGGGTTTGGGTTAAACATGTAACATATTTTTGCGTGTCTTTTTAAGGGGTCCACCCCCAAAAAAAGTGGTTTTCCTTGGTGGTTTCCCTTTAAAGCCACAAAAACACGGGCAACACGGGCACCCTCGAACAAGGACCAACACATTTGTCTAGGTGAACTATAACGACCTCACACGACCTCACCCCAAATGGTGGTTTATGTGCAGCCCCTAGCACCACCTTATTTTAGGCTGGTGAAATAGTTAATTCACCCAGACGAATGGGTTTTCCATTAAACCATTAAAAGGTTTCAACTTCTAGCAGAGGAGCAGGTTCGCAACCTAGTCACCCAGATTTGTACCCAGCTGGTGTCTGGAGTCAGATCCGAGCGGCCCGGCCCGAGGAGGTGCTGAAGATCTGCGGGCCGTTCAAGAAGGCCTTCGCCACTGCTGGCAAGCACGCCTCGAAGCACTTCACCGCGGAGGTGGGTTTGTTTGTGCGCTGAAAACGGGGAAATGGATCTCAAACTACCCAGAACATCTGGAATTCACCCCATATCTTAGACTTTTTGGAGCAAACATCCCAATGTGTTAAGGGAATTGTGAGGGTTAAGGAAGTGGGGCATTCATCTAGGGGTACCTTCCATTTCCATTCTTTCCAGGCATTATTCTTTCTAAAAAACCACTCAAAACCCTGGGGAACGGCTGGTTTGTGAAAAGAACGATGGTTGAAAAGAATGGGGAAACAACACCTAGAATGAGTGCTATTGGGATCTTTAGACTTTAACTTTTTGGTTGAAGTCAAGGGGTTTTCCACTAAACCCAGAAAATGTTCAAAACTTTTTTGCAGAGCGGTCAACAGAAACCAAGAAAAGGCCGCCGTTCGTGTTTAATGTATCTTCCGTTTGCTTAAGAATATGTTTTGTTTCCCCTCTTGGTTTTAAAGGGAACCTATTACTGCTGGAAATAGGGTCATTTGTTCTATCGGACTTGAGCAAATAGACGTTACCCAAAGGGAAACCAAATGGAGGTGGGCAATGTTGTTGGGTCATTTTGCCGAGGCTCCCTATCAAGTTGCTGGTTCAAATAGCAGGGAATGATGGAATGGCCCGTACAGATGGGCAATATACGATTCGCACCACTTTAAATAAATGAAACCTTACAATAAAGGGGGGACCAACCACCTATCCGCTGCGGCCGGACTTCAGCCACTGAACGAACTATCCCCGCATGGCACCTGAAAAACGCCCTTTCAGAGCACCATCCGCTTTCGTAGGATGCTTTGGTGATTTGTAGGAATTCTGGAGGGATTTTTGGGGATTTGGGGGATTCTCAAACCAGAGTTCGTAGGGTTGGAATTTCTTATTTGCATTGACATCACCGTTGCAAAAATCAAGCATGGACCCCTTCGAGACGACCTGATTTTTTCAGAACCTCCTTTTGGGGCGCCGGTTCCCCTTTTGGCCTCCAGGCTTCCATGAACCCAATTTGGCTCTTGTCGGCAGAGTCATGTCGGGCGTCGGCGCCATGCGAGGGAGACTTCAAGCGGCGTGCGGAGGTTGGGACGGAGTCGAAGCTCGGATGCCCTCGGCTGGCCCGATGTTCGCCTTTTCTCCGCAGGCTAGCATGTCCCCCACTCCCCCAAAAGGAGAGGCTCCTAGTATCTCCTGGTCCTTACAGGAGGGCTTTCTTGGGCCTGAAACAAGCTTGCAGCGTGGCTTTCCTTACCTTCCGAGCTTCAACTTCTTAAGGTTTGTTTCTTTCTTCCCAAAATCTCGGTGGCTCGCCATCCCCAGAAAGAGTTTTAGACATCTTTTTAGTGCTTAGTGCTTGGTTTCCGTATTTCCCCCGCTCAAAAGTTTCCTCACTTCTCCCGCGATCTGGGCCGGGCTCATGAAAGGGAGAGCCTTTCGTGGACCTGGAGAGCCTTGGGGTCCGACTTGTGGGGGTCTCAAATCACAGCCTCAAAGTGGGTGGACAACCGGAAACCACTGAAAAAAGGTCCCCAATTTTTGAGGAAACCCCAAACATCTTGTTCGTGAAAGACACACCTTCCCCCAGCAATTGGTGTCCCGGCAATTGGTGCCCGCTCTTTCACCCCTTCCTTTTTTGATTGGGAGGGTTCCCTACTGAAATTGCCAGAAAAAGGTACCCTGCGAACGTCTGGAGGACCTGGAAGGAATTGTTTGGGCGGGGTGAAGAATCAAGGCGGGAACCCTGTCTGGCGGGGCTTTCTGCAAGGTGTACTTGTTGAGAAGGATTCAGCTTGGGGTCACCCGAGAATCCGCTGAGACATGACCTTTCGTCCAGTTGGCGAAGACATGTTTCTGGGTGCTTGATGGTTTTTGCGGTTCCGGAGAAGACCAGTTGGTGGCGGGGCGGGGTTCTCAGTGGCCAGACACAAGCTCTTGCCATCTTGGGATCTTTCTTGCCTGCGGACTCTGCTCCGTTCGTCACCCGCAACACATGCTTGTATGAGTTACACTTTTTTCATGGGGTGCTGGCTACCTTTTGTCGAATCCGCCCTTCCCAATACAAAGCAGGACGTGAGACCAGCAAGCGTGTTTGCGAGTTTGGGCGGCCATTGGTTGGGCCCCCCCCAATCATGTTTGTTGTTGGGTGACTTGTTTTTCCATTTTTGCTTATTGTGGTTTAGTGGGAAATCCCCACTTAACTGCTAAAATGTAAATGTTTGCTGCCCTTCCAACGTCAACCAAGCAATCACCCTTCAATGTGCAGCCCTGAGATGCCAAGCTCGAAATGCTGACCTAGTGCGACTCAACCCTGGAAAATTGAAAACCAGGGTTTGCGCTTGGTATTACCGCAAACCCCGAGGTTCCGGAAGAATAGCCCGGCTTTTGTACAATGCACCCCATATTTTAGCCGTACAGATCTCATATTTGACCCGTACCACCCCCGTATTTCTCGTACTGGTTCTTAAACCCGGGTAATTTTGCATACCCTGCTCTCTTGCAGGGTTTGCATGTGTTATTTATTCTACATATTTGTACGTACATGTGCAAATTTCTAGGAGTTGCTTTTGTGCGTTACTGTACGGACTCTAGTTTATCTGCTTGGGTGTGTCGTTCATAAACAGGTTTGCTTGAAACGGAAAGTAAATGGTCTTACGTTTAGTTGTCAGTCATTGTTGGAAATGGTTCGCTTGCATCGTTGCTTGGCTAGTAGCTTGTTCCCTCCAACGTTTCCCTCAGGATAGCTGGAGTTCAACCGTTTTGTCAAGCGAATGATTAGAGGAATCATTGTAATGCTTTGTTGGCTACCTGATTAGATGCTCATCCTCATGAATCAAGGCAACTCATCCTTTAATTAGTTTTGTCCCCTGTTCTTTCCCCTCTTGTCAGGATGCGCGTTGTCTTTGACCTATTCTCAAACTGGCCCAAAGGGTTAACGGCTTGCAGCTGGCTCGGGTTTGAGGCGTCTGCCGATGGCGCGCTTCCGGCAGAGAGGCCCTGCGACTTTGCTGAGCCGCATGCAGCTGCAGGCGGCTTGGCGGGTGGCTGGGCGGACGGCTCCAGTTACAACTCAAGATCTTTCAGTAGGATAGTAGGTATCACCTAGGTGATACCTGGAACCTCAAGTAGGAACCATATTCCTTGCTTCATAGCAGTTTGTTCCGCTGATTTCGGAAAAATGTTGGATATCGATGATATTCCTTAGTATCCAGGTGTTTGCCCGCATGTTTTTCCAATTGCCATCCGCATGATCCACATGTGCGAGAAATGATTGTGCCTCGGGGTACATGGCTCAACACACCGACACTTGGACTGACTATTTAGTCTCGGGGGCCAGTGCTGACAGCGTGTACTTTGTCTACACGTGTACTGAGGAGTTGTGACGTGTAAGAGTGCCAGAGTCTGCTTCCTACGCAAACAAATGGACAAGCAGAGATCGACAATCGACTTTGCAGCTGGAGCCGACTCGTTGCGACACTGCAGGAGTGCCAGAGTCATAGGTGTCCTTTGTTGGAGTTTTGATCGAACAATAGATGGCGATTGCTGGTTTACCTGGTGGTCTAATCATCTACCCGTGCCATCTATTTCCCCTAAAAGGACACCTATGGCCAGAATAGATTTCATGAGTGCGAGAGTTTACACTGTCCATCGGACAGAACAGCTTCGACTTCCGAGCTGCCAAAGTTTTCTGCGTCACTCGGGCTGACCCTTGCGACGCTGGAGACCGCGGGTTTATGTCGTGCACGTGTGAACTTCGGAATGTGCGGAGAGTCAGAGCCCCCTAAAACAGATCGTTTGGTTGTTGCTTTTTTCTTTCTTTCTTTTTTTAACCTGTTGCTCCTTGGTTGGATTGTTTCCATATCGGTATGGGGTGTCTTTTCTCTGTCGCACTGGCGACAAATAATTCGCCTCGTTTGCCTTTCTTTTTTTCTTTTTTTTTAAAGGACATCTGGGAACCAACACCCATAGACCACGGTTGTTGGCCTTTGTGTTGGCCGCCTTTGTGGATGTTGGCATGGTCTTGGGTATCTTTAACGGAAACCACGTTTGCTTGTTTTGTGCTGTTTCCAACATGTTGTGTTAACTATGAGACAGGAGAGATTTCTGGATGACTCAGGCTCGTGGACGTTTCCCCTCAGAGAAGCTCAATAATTCGCCCCTGGAACCCGCTGCAACCCTCGGAACCCTACCTCAGTGCCGCCCCTGACCCCAAAGCGTATCTAGGCAGAGACCCCATAGCTTCCAGCTAAGGAAAAAACCTGACTCAAGCCAAACATTTAAACAAACAAAGGTGAACATGGCAGAGGGTCGATAGCAAACAAGGCCATTTGAAAAAGGCAGGCTTCCTACGAATGGGAGTTGCACGTCCCGCGCCCAAGACTGAAAGACCAACCGACACTAAAATGCACTTTCAGGTCAAGCTGCCCCTGCCTCTCTATATCTCACCTTCAAAGTTCGGAATTGTTTTTGGGGAGAGCGGGGGAATGTACAAATTTTCAGCGGAGCTTCGCTCTCAGTGAACCACTCTACTTCACCACTCAGATCTTCTGGTTAAAAGTCTGATAAGCAGAAGTCCCCTTATCAACGGTTTTGGCTTGGTGCTTCCCTGAAAGACGTCCCATTTCACAACAAACATGCAGCAACAATTCCCTGACCTTCCCCCGACTTCTGTACAACAAGGGTCTTGACCCAATGGCATTGTGACACATAAATGATTGCATGAGGGTTAATGGTTCAAAAACAGAACACCCCCCCCCCCCCCGCTCCCTTGTTTCGCCACCCCCCCTCCCCCAGCTCCTCGCCCATCCCTCCAAACAGCCGCCGCACAGCCCCCCCTTCCCCCCCACCTCCCCCCTCCCCAAACCCCTTCCACCTCCTTTCCCCCCTGCCCCCCCCACCTTCCCCCCCCCCCAGCCCTTCCACCTCCTTCCCCCCCTTCCCCATCCACCCCTCCTCTCCCCCCCCTCTTCCCCCTCCTTTCCCCCCCCTCTTCCCCTCCTTCCCCAGCCCCCCCCTTCCACCTCCTTCCCCCCCTTCCCCACCCCCCCTTCCCCCCCCCATCCAACCAGACAAAACGCGCTCCACCCAGGACGTGCTGGCGAAGGACTTCGCGGAGTTCCTCGGGCGCTGCCTGGCGCCGGAGCCCTCGGAGCGCTGGGCGCCGCACGCAGCGCTGGAGCACGGCTTCGTCGCCGGGGAGGCGCGGGAAGGGGGTGGGGGTGGTGGGTGGGGTGGGGGGGCAGGGGGTGGAGTGTGGTGGGGTGGGTGGATGGTATCCCCCAGACGCTAGGAAGAGGGCACCTCATTGTCAACTTCTGTTTTTTGTTTTTTGTTTTTGCCTTCTGGCTAATCGATATGGCGAGCTGATGACTAATTGTGCTGCAGCCAACAAGTGAATAAACTCCGTACTGTATACGCATGAGCTGCAAATGTTCAATGTTGGCTCCACTGTTGAAGCTTAGGCGTCAACCACAACTGGTATTCCGGCAAGGCCACGTTTTGCTTCCATGGAGGTCAAAAGATGGCCATTATTTGGCTTTTGGTGCCGGCATTTCAAGCCACCTTTAAATGGGGTCCCTTTAAAAAGACACCGCATTTTGATAGCCCCCCAGGGCCCCCCATCTCATTTGCCCGTGTAGCTCTCTCTCTCTCTCGCTCTTGCTAGGCCGGCGGTTCTGCAAGGCAAGGCGAAGGAAAAGAGCTCGCGGAGTCGCAGCGGGGGGGGGGGGTTGGCGAGAGAAATGGCAGTGGTTGTCAAAACCAATGGATCCCATTTTGGTTGGTAGGTGCACCACCCATTTTACAACCTATAGTGGAGATTGGGATGTTCACTGGGGGTACGATTTGGATTTGGACCCATGGCCAAATGGGAGTGTCTTTCTTTGGGGGTACCCGTTTTAGGTGGTTTTACAGGCACACCGAAAAAGAAGCCGCTGAGTCTGGGTTAATCCATTTTGACACATACCCATCACATACCCAAATTGTGTTCTCGGGAAGCTCACCCAGGGCCCGAAATGTGATGCTTCAGCTTCACATCAGCAAAAGGTGACGCCTGTAGATCCTGGTGGAGAAAAAAAGGGGGTGCTTCCCCCAAGAACGTAGTGCGACCCCCTTTGTTCAGCAACCAGGGCTTTATCAATCCTGGGTCATAGAGACGCCATGCAGGCAGGGAGTCTCGAGACAAGGAAAACGGCGTCCACCAACATACACGGAACCTGACGTTCGGGGGGTGCTGGTTTGGACCATTTTCGTTTTGAAGGCAACGGGTTCCATGTTAATTGGTTTGGGCCCAGACCCCTCCCCCAGCTGCCTCCAGTCCGCCTGAAGCGAGCCTTCCCAGCCCCAGTCCGCCGGCCGGCACCTCTGAGGCGAGCGCTGCGTGCTGCTCTCGCGGACCCAGCTGGTGCCCAAGAGCACCTGGGAGCCGCGCCCGGCACGAGGCGCGAGTCGCGCGAGCGAGGAGGTTCCGGGAGGTGCCGGGACCCGGCTCCGGGCAATCTCCGGGATGTCCATTTGGGTGTTGACTTGGCACCCTTCTTGGGCTGGATTTAAAGTTGGGAACAAAAGGAAGACCGCCAATTTTAGGGGGAACCCTACTTTGAGACAGACCATTTGGCGTCTAAGTTGCCTCTCGACTGAAACTGAAACGGAGTCTGCAAATATGCTCAGTATGAGCTCCTTGGTGTCTCAGACGTGGGCTAAGGGCTTCCTGTGGTGAAGTCAAATTTTGGATTTGTTTCCGCCTGCAGGTAAGTGGGTTTGTGCTTTGGTCAATGTTTGGTATAACCTACACATTGGAACCATGGGAGGGATCTCAAGGCCGTTGCCCTTCTGATTCAGGCAACCCTTGCGTGATGGGGACTTTTGTAGAGGGTAAAGGGGAAACTCTCTTGAACCACCAAACCAGCAGTCCAAACCTGTGGGAAGACATGATTCAAGCCAAGTTGCCTACAACCCTGCTTTAGTAAGTTTTCCCAAGCAGAGGAATATGATATGTGTTGCATGCATTTTGAGGGGAGATGTGCTGATTTGTTCATGGGACTTCAATTTAATCCCGACTGATCCTTAGGCCGTACTACTCCAGGGTGGTTCCCTTGTCAGTGCAGGGCATTCCTTTAGGATGCAACCCTGTTCATGTGGTGGGTTCTCGGCTAAACCCAAAACGGATTCCCTTTTTTCCCAGGGTCACTGGGCAGGGGATTCGCCGGGATGGTTCCCTTTGGTGTCCCTGGACAAACTCGCAAAGGGTACTGGGGATCCCCGGAACCTCCTGCTGAGTTCCATGATTGGGGGCAGCGTAATGTTGACCCAGGATTAATAAACCCATCCCACTATTCGGGGGGTGTTCCCTCCAAAAGTGATGAATCCCCACTAAAAGTGGACGCCGCACACCCATTGACTTTTGCTGATGGCCCCGCCCTGCGGATCTTCAAACTCGCCGCTTGCCGATTGCCAGGCAATGACGCCTTGTCGCAGCTTGCAGAGCTTGAATCAAAGACCCAAGGCGGGATGGGAAAGCCGACGGCGTGTAGCCACATGGGTCACCGTCCTTTCTCAACATGCATGTTCTTGCACAAAAGCAGCGGTTCCCAAGATGGAAAGCAGCTTTTAACAAGGTGCATTTTGGGCCACAATTCAGTGGCAGCTTCTATTAAGCACGCTCGTGGTGCCCCCACCTTAGCGACATAAAGCCTTTCATCAGTGTCAAGGGAAAGCACAAACTCACCTGCAAAGATGGGTTCGCTCAGAATTCCTGCCTAACAAAGAGGAATTCAGGACCGTGTTGCAAACAAATATTACAGTAAACCTTTTGGCACCTTTACCAAAAATGGACCAACATGGGAAAACCAAAAGCTCAAAAGGTCCGCTTTGGGTAAGTGAGTAGAACGTACATGAAACAAGGTCCGTGGGGTATCCATTGATATAGAAAGGTGTCTGGCGCAGGACATGGGCCAGCCATCAAACTAAACATTACACAAGGCTCAAGATCCTGCAGGTGAGTAGGCGAGACCCGTCCCCCTTGCAAAAAGAAAAAGCACAGCGGAACAGCAGTGGGTCCTTTGGGCAAGTGCGTCTATGATGTTCCATGTTGATTCATGGCTTCGCCTAGAGACGAGCACTCATATACTGACACGCAGTGCATGGCGTTTGGGCATTCCTCCAAGTTGCTTGCCGGGGACCTTGCCGTTTGACCAGAGTGCGTTGATTTTTGGTGGCGGGGTTGCCTCGAATTGGGACCTGGACAAGTCCCCCTTTGGGTTGGAAATGGCAGGAAGGGATTGCACTGGCAAGGGCAAATAGCTGCCAAAGTTAACTCGAGCATGTCCAGTTCGCCCACAAAATGGACAACTCGTGGCTTGCTTGCATGGTGGCTTCGCTAGTGAAGTTCATCCTTGGCATCCAAGCAGTGCTCCAATCATAATTTAGAGCTGAGCATGGGGAGCCATGCGAATTACTGGTCCAACATTGGGTCCTTGCCCTCAATTTTATCAACCAGACAAATATATTAGGCTGTCATTGCCTGGCTTTGGCGCTCTGGCGCCCCCGTCGATTCGACGTGTACGCCTTCTCTTGCCGCCAGGGTCGATACCCGACAATGATTTGGCGCAACAGGCGGATGACAAAGGGCTGGGGGATAGCAAATGGCCTATCCCAAAAAGCTAAGGAAGGCTGGCAGGTTCAGTTCCACATCTTCGGATTGTATGCTTTTGTGGGAAAATCTTTGAGGAGTAAGCTGAAAGCTGAGACGTGTTCCAGCCAATATACTCAGGAAGTGGGCAGGTGATGCATGCTTGAAGTGCCAGTTCTGGCTTTGCTCTGGCCGCTCCACATAGGGGATCAAATGCCATACCTGGAGCCAGTCTGCGAGGCCATGCCCAGAAGAATAGACTCCGGGGGCATGGCATCCCAGGTTTGAAGGCTCAGAAGGAGACTCCAGATCGCCTCCGGGTTAAAACAACCCAACAGGCTTCCTTGGTGAAAAAGGCCGCTGGTACCATTTTGGGATTTTCACTGCACCACCCATGTTAGTCAATTTGAGTGGTTGGATAAACATGCCCTGGGTCAGAAGGAGACTCCAGATATGCAAATGATTGCAAAAGATTGGCACGCTCGAGAAACCGTTCACGAGACTGGTCGACGAAGAGTGTAGGGCGACATACAAACAGTGGTCGTGCAAAGCGTGCATGGACATGTCGAAGCCTTGTATGATCGGCCGCCCGAGAAAAGTCACAGATGTCACAGACGAGAACCTTCTGAAGGACAAGCGGGTTCAATTGGATTTCGAGTTCGCTCGGTACTCCTTGTACCGCAACTTTGCATGGTTTGGGGTTCAATCCACCATTAAAACCGTGCGGGTTTTTGTAAAACCACCGTTGTGTGCCTAAGGATTGTCGTCGATAAAAAATCGGTCCTGGCAATTCTTTTGATGGGGACATGGAACCCTAGCGTTGGGATTGTCGTCGTAAAAAAATAGGTCCTATTCTTTTGATGGCATGGAACCCCAATGGGTGGGCCTTCAGCAAATGGCAGGCCGTGCCGGCACGAAGTGAGCTGTGTTCGGAAGTGATTTTGGGCAAAGGAACCACCCTGGTTGGCCCCCTATTTTACGACAGCCCCATTAAAGGAGTGGGTAATGGCAGCGTGAAATGCGTGAACCTGACCTCCCATCCACAAAAAGAACCTGACTGGTCCTGGAAGACAATTTGCCTTTAAAATTGACCTCAGAGGCAGGGTTCCATGTTAGACCTAAGAGCCCCTTGCAAATCTCTAAGAACCTGGGGGCCTTTGGTTGCCATAGCTGTGCCTCTTGTGAACATGTCGAGGGCTTCTCAAAGCATTGGGCATGGTTTCTGGTTTGACAGTTTTTCGCGTCTGAGGCTTTCAAGAGCATGAATGTCAGTCGCTCTGCTCGCCCACCCAGTCAATGATTTCGGGCCATGGTTGGCTTCGTAGTTCCTTTGGGCCTAGAGTCAGAACCCTGAAAATGCGGACACTACTCTCATGTCTTTTCTCCGAGAAGAAACGACTACGACTGCCCAAAATGCAAGAAAACCTTGCAACAGACGACCTATCCCGCCGTTTGAAACTTAATTGCCCTTTTGTGTGAGGTATTTTGGGTACCAATGGATAACCCTTGGAGGGTGCTGACACCGCAGTTTGCTTTTCATAGGTCTTGGCCCTGGCCGACAAGTGGCCCATGGCCGAGGCAAGTTGGGCCGGCTTTTTTGCGTGAGGATCCAGTCCCAGTCCAGCGCATTCCCTTTTTGCGTTTTTCGGCTCGTTTCTGTAGGGTTCCTTACTTATTCATGATGCACCCTTGGCTGGGTTCTGCTTTTTTTGTTGTGCCATGGTCACTTGGAAACTGGGTAGCTGTACGCATGCTTTTACGGCATCCGGCAAGACGAAATTATCCTTCTGTAGGCCCTTGCAACTGGCAACCATAGAATGTCAGTTGTGGCATCGTAAGGCGACAGATGCCGATGAACCCGGCTGACACCGCGGATGTCCAACCCACTTGCCATGGCTTCAATGGTTACAACTGGGATGATTTATGATGACTCCCTCTTAGAAGTAGGGGTGAAAGCACCTTACCTCGCAATCTCATAAATAAGTGTTGAGAGGGGCCACTACCAACAGGACCAACTGTCAGATGCGGATTAAAAGTCATTCAGGGCTGCTACTGTATGAGACATATTGGCCATGTTGTGAAAAGCATCCAACGAACATGGAACCTGACGTTTGGCGGTCCCTGTGAAAGGAGAATGTCTATATATATATATATATATATGTTGAACCCTGTCGTTGGCAATGCTTCTCATCCCCATGCAGAGTGTGTTTTCAACCAGAGATGTTCTGTGTGTGTGTGTGTGCATCGGCGAGGTCTATCCCGTTCCATTCAAATCTGCGGGGGGCGTTCTGAACGATAGACTCACGTGGGTTTCGTGGAAATCTGAGCAGTTTTCCGGGTCAACGTGGCAGGTTTTGGGCTGTTGGGTTCCAGCTGTTTGTACTTTCACAGCATGAACAAGCCGGCAGTTCAAACAAGCATATTAATTGATTCACTCTGGCTTTTCTTTCTTCGTCCTCCCACAAACAGACGTCACCTGTCGGTAATTTGGTTTCTGGAAGTCCAACTTAATATATCGTGCTAAATAGCTACTAAGTCGTTGTTCCTGTCATCATGCCTAATGTGGATTTCAAGTACCTACCCTCCTTCTAACAAGTAGAATGCGCCGCTTTTCAGGGGACGTACCATGGCAACGGGAGGCTTCCAGTCCCGTTTTTGCCAGGAGAACGCCCTGCTCGCCGAGCTGAGCCCAGGCGGGAAGAGTTCAGCCACAAAGAGGCGCCAAACCTGTGTCTCCTCCAAAACCATGATTTTCCACTTGCTGAAATGAAGATTTCTTATTTTCCGCTGTTGGCTTAAAGGGAATCTATCACTGATGGAAATATGGTTTCCTTCCAGGGGGCTTAAGCAAATGGAAGTTATATATGATATATTTGACTAAATATGAACGGAAATGCTAATATTTGTGTGCAGTGGGCCAATAAATGCATTGTTTCGAAAGGGCCAGTTCAGGCCGACGTTGATTTAGGCGGCGGTACCGCTGGTGTTTGGCTCAAAGGGCATAGGAAACAAAAACAAAACGGGTTCATGTGCTTGCCTGCCTTGGGCGGCACAACCAACACTTTCGCGAAGCAACCCTGCTTGGAAATTCCAGCTAGTCTTGCCATCTTGTCTGCTCCCCACAAGAAGGGTAGACTACCAAACTGGAACCCGCATTGCTTTGTTTCAAGATGAGGTGACCCCGGCAAATTGATGGATTTTCTCGTTGGCCCCCTGTGGAACGAACCCCATTGCCGGCATTGTGCTCCACAAAAGACTTGATACTGTGACACCCCGATTTCAAGGGTTGACCCTGATTCTAGAGGCGAGTAAGAAATCGATAGTCTTGGTTCCAGGTTCAGGACGCTCCGGTTGACCCATCGCCATTACTCCTTTTCAGGTTGGGGTTGAAGCAAAAGGCATGTTATTGCAGTTTGGTTTTGCCTTTGGGTGTTTGCAATAAAGGACCTCTCCACGTGGTTGCCTGTGTTTCTCCTTTTGTCTTTTGTTCAACATGACTCCCTTGGACAATTCTAGAAGGAACCCAATCAGAGGAGATTTCGGAAGGAGATTGCGTTCCCAAAGCGCCTCCTTTATAAGCCATGCTGGCTTAGATCATCTTGTCGTACTTTACGGAACATGCAAACACTTAGAGGATTTCCCACAAAATTGTCTCCTATTGGAGTCTGTTGGTTTTTGGGATACATATATATATATATATGTATATATATATATATATGCATATACACATACATATATATATATGTATAAGTATATATATATATTTGTTAATCAGGGGAGCACCTGGTAGTTTTCTCTGGCTTGGTTTGGATTTGGTTGGAGGTTTGGATTGTTTTTTTGCTCCTATGATCCAATCAATCACCAGAGGTTCAAGCCCCGGCGCGAGTCCAAATCTCCATTTAAGGGCCGCCAGACGAGTGTTGCCAATTTGTTCTGGGTGGGACAATGCCTACCATTGCTCTTCAGATGCTTGGTTTCCGCCTGGTTTCTCTTTTTATCAAACGACCAGTGTCTTTTCGGGTCCATGCGCCGTGACACGTCACGTTTCAAATTTCTTACAGATGCCTTCTTTATTCCCCCAAGAGCACATGGAACATGTTTTGAGGTTTTTTTTTGCGGGGATTCGGTGAGTTCCCCTATGTTTCTCCTAAATGAACCATAGATTGCAAGTAATTTTGACCGAATCTGCCGAAAGACAACAGGTGCGCATCCGTAAAGGCGCGGAGAACCAGAGTTGATGCTGCGTTGCACCACGGGAGTCACTCGCTCTCAGTACTTTGCGCAGGCACAGCCGGTCTTGATCTGGGGCCCGATGCGAAGGACGGGAACTGATCTCAGGATCTGCAATGCTTGTTTTGAAGGCGCTACTGTGGATGGACGAACTCCATTTCACACCGCCTTGAAACCACGGTGCACACCATTGTTGGCATTTACAGGGGGATCGAATCATTCCGTTGGGTTTCTCCTTGGTTGTGTGCAATGGATTCGCCACCATGCGCAGTACCCTGTTGTCGGGGGAAGCCTTTGGCGAAGGGGTCAAGGAAGCCTGCTATGAGACCCTTCTCGCTTGACAAAAACAAACGCATTTTCCTCACTTGCCCAAAGCGAATCGACCTGTTCAGCTTTTGATTTCCCCATTTTGGTCCATTCTTAGTCAAGGTCCCAAAAGGTTTTCTGGCGCGGAGTGGTACGAGTGCGGCTCAACGTCGAATTGAGATGTTGAGATTCAATCGCCCCAAAAGGGTCCAATTTGGGCCACCGGAGTTTCAGCCTCGTTCCTGGATGCTCACCCGGGAAGTTTGAGATGTTTGCTCATGAAGGCTCTCAAGGCTCGTATTCCTAACCTGTTTTTCAATACTTTCTTGAATTTTGGAGACACACTTCAAGTTTTATGCTCTAGAATTTGTGTTCCAACCCAACCCCCTTAAAAAACCAAGGGGGATGACCTTTGCATTGGTCCAAAAACAACATGACATACTGTGGATGGACGAACTCCTGCACCACTTTGAAGCCATGGTTGAAACCATTGTTCGTTGGTATTTACAGGGGGAATCACCATTCCAGGGTTTCTGAGTTCAGGGTGTGAAATGGATTTCGCAACCATCCACAGTAGGACACACAAGTTGACAAGGGTTCATGTGTCTGGAAGTCACGGCAGCAGATCTTGGACCGCTGCCTGTCACAAGTCACTCTTTGCACAAGTCAATTGATACATGGCCATGGGTCAAAATCCAAAATTCCGTACCCCCAGTGAACATCCGATTCAATCCACACTAAAATAGGTTCTAAAATGGGTGGTGCACCGAAAACCCCAAGATGGGATCCCATTGGTTTTGACAACCACGGCCACATGTGGCAGGTTGAAACGGCATGGGAAACCAGGTTCTAAGATTCGGAGGACATTGCCATGGCACCTGACAGAGGGCCCCTAAGGACATTTATCTTCCAGGTAGCGTCCCACTGGTTTGCACCAAGCAGCAAGTAAGGGTGGTACGTTGCATTTCTTTCCTGAGCATTGCTTTGTTTGGTTTTGTAGCCCAGAGTGCCGTCTGCGTGCTTTTTGTCCCTCGAGATTCGTCCGGCCAGGATCGTTTTTACGGGAACATGAGCGGGGTCGAGGCGAGCTTTACCTGGAGACGGGCCCCATAAAATCTTTGCTTGTCGCATTTCGTGCAGGCCTTGCAATGACATAACATAACAAATGTTTGGGGAGGGCGGCAAAACAATAAATCCCAGTGATTCCATGCACCTGTCTAGTCGGCAACCCTGGAAATCACCCTTTTACAATGGCGAAGGGTTACTTACTATACTGTCTTGCCTGGGATCCACTGGGTGATATACGCATGCAAAATTCGCATCTGTTTCAAGGAAACCCGCGGCATTTCACCTGAGTCGCACGTCTTCATCTTCGATCCAGAATCAGAGCGGCTTGTTCTTTGGTTGGACATGGTCGGTCTTGCCATGCAAAGAATAAAAGCGCGGCCTAGCGTGGGACACATTCATGCAATAGTAGTGTAAGATCCGGTGCTGCTGATCAGGGTTGTGGGATCAAGGGGGGGGGGGGTTAGTCTTTGGGAAGCCCCTTTCTGTTGCATCACAGAAGCGGTCAGTCCCAGCCCTGCTGCTGATCGAAGTAAGCCAGAAAATGCACTCACGGTAGATTGGCCGGGCCCATGTGCAAAGAGCATTAGAGACTTTGCACGGGCAACTCACTTGCTAAAGTTGCGAACCTTGTTGCAGAATGTGAGATCGTTCCATTCGGGTCATAGCAAGACACCTTGCATGCATGCATCGCAACTCAAGGAATTGCATCATTCCAGGCTCTCACGACCCCCTCAGTTGTCCAGTGACACCCGCCTTTCTTCGGGGAGTGGGGTGGGATGGGGCTGGGGGTTGGGTTTCGGGTTTAGGGTTGGGTGAATTTCATGTCCTCTCAGCAACTCAAGCAACACAGGGCATCCCTTTTGCTCCATAGGCAACTTCCAGTCAGCTTGCACCCTCCATCGCCCACCACCAGGCGTGGATCACAGTTGCCCCCGTTCCAACAGAGTCGATGCACTTTGTTCTTGGGACGGATGTTTTGTTTCGTGCTGGTTTGAAACCAATCCAACACCCTCCCGAGAAGGCTTGCACATAGTTCCTTGCCCGAAGTTTGTTTTCTGGTTTTGGCCGATGTTTCGTCGAGGTTGCAATCGTTTAACCTTTAATGTTTCCCACTAGCCCGAGTGTCCCCTACAAATTAACGTGGAACCCACAAAGGAGGGTGCAAGCCCCCCAAAAGGAGAAAAAACACTCTCATGGCATCTCATGCGTTCCTTCCCTGATTTGGAGAGATCACCTCTCGCATTCTCGAGGTAGAGAAGGAGCTGATCCGGCAGGGTGTGCTGATGCAGACTCTCCTGCGGGACTTCAGCATAATGAAGGCCTCCATGCACGCCGAGGGAGTTTTGCAGAGCAATGCCAGAACCAAATCATGGCTCTGTTTTTCTGGGGTCTGAATGGAATGCGAAAGAAACAAACACTATTATTTTTTTTGGGGGGGGGGAGGGGCGATCCTATTTTGACACAACCCCCATGAAGAAGGTTCGTAGGGGATATTCCCGATCATGAGGTAGGTGCGGCGAGAAGCAATTTGCATTATCTACTTTTTTGTGGGTAGGCCATTTGGAATGCCAGGTTTTAATCATGACTCAAATGGGGTAGTGCGTATATGTGCCCCCCCCAAACAGCGACACACCCATGTGTGTGCGTGCGTGTCTTTTTTGGGGGACTCCCCAAAATTATCTGTGGTTTCCCTTGGATGCCCTCAAAGAGACCAGACCCATATGGAGGGGCTAAACAGTTACCTGGAGTCCACCACATTTTGCCTGTTGGCAAATCGGAAGGCTGTGGTTGCGAGTGCCCAACTGGGTTGGTTCCCCTCGAGCCAACCCTAAAATTGGACCGAAAGCATTTCCCTTCCAAGCAGAAGGGCCACTGGCGCGAGGATGCCGTTGGGCACTTGGAGGACGAGTCCGGCACCGCCAAGGAGGGGGGAACCTAAGCGCTTGCACTTTGTTGGGGGTGAGCCGTTTGCAAGACTCTCTTTGGGTGGAAAACCGTTTGTTTTACAAGCAAAAGGAGACAAACACAAAATAAGATAGCAACTAAAAGACGGAATACGGTCATGTCGTGTGACAAGAAATGCCTTTTCACTGTCGAGAGTCTCGCAAAATCTGAGGTTTTTCCGAGGCTCTGGGAGATAAAACTTTTGTGGGGGTCTTAGCTCCAAGGGTGGGACCTGTTGTAGCCAAAAACAAGGTCTGGAGGGTCTCCATTTGGCCAAATTGTCTTCTGCCATAGTGCTCCTATCAGAAGCTCCCTTGTACCGTGTGGTTGGCTTTTGAGATTGAGGCTTGCAAGTTGCAGGGTGGCGTGGTTGCAGCCAAATTAATGGCTGTGGTTGTCAAAACCAATGGGATCCCATTTTGGGGTTTTCGGTGCACCACCCAGTTTAGTCTTTTTTAGTGGGGATTGGGATGTTCACTGGGGGTACGATTTGGATTTAGACCCATGCCCAAATTCCAATTCGCACCAACTCGCACCCGCCGCTTACCTCAAGATGTGCCATCCGCCTCAATCCCAATCAAAAGTTCAAAAGCCGACCGACGCATAGACCCGCCATGCAGCAAAAGCCTTGATCATTTGCAAGCAGAAGCACAGAAAATTCAGGAGATAGCCTGCCTGCCACCCCATGTTCCCCAACAGACCAGGGCTCAGACTGGGATCTGACTATCCTCTTGTGGCCTTTGTGCTCTTAGTGAACAAGCTGATCTTAATCTTACTGAAGCTGTAAGCTGGGACAGGTTTCTAGTCGCAAACGTGTAGCTCATGTAGTAGACCAAAGTAGACCATTCTTACTGCAACAAATCCGGCTTTGGGCTCCGAGCCTCTGGGAAATTGACCAAACGATGCCAAACGAGAGTCTCGTTTCTTGGTCTTAACGCACTCAACGACCGTAGAGAAATTCAAAGTTTTCAGGACACCAATGAACTGTTCTGGAAATAAATGCACGCGTGCAAGCCTTAAACCACATTGCTGAGCACTATACATTGGCAACCTGCGCCTGTAAATGGCAGGTCCCAAGAAACGGCTATAGAAAACTGTCTTACAACTACATCTTGAGGATCTTGAAACAACACACATCAGTTAAAGATAAGCCCTGCGGGCATTTAAGTTGGCTATTAATTTCAATGGTGTCCACCAAAGGTTTCCTAAAAACATTAATATCCATAATACAGGGAAAATAGAGGAATCCATAGTTTTGAGGTTTCCGCAGTTTCGAGACACATATATAGGTATGTGTCAGATACGTGAAAAGGGAATATGTTAGTATAGTATGATATGATATGATATGATATGATATGAAATGATATGACACACTACTATTTGTAGTTTCGTAGAATATGATATCATGCAGTATCACTACAATATGCTATAGTTTCACGCAAACTGTACTTTTTCTGCATACAAGCGGACATATATATATATATATTATGTGTGTTTGTATATGTAAGTACATGCGAGACATCCACAGAAACGCCACCCGATATCCCATGGCCGGTTTTCTTTAGGAGCTGGCGGTGAAGAGTCAGTTGGACTGCCGCACCACAGCTTTGGAGTTGCGCCAGGCAGGATTGATTTCTTGGCCTTGCCAGGAATTTCCTGTTTTTCCTTAAGGTTGGCTTGGTTGGCTGGCTTGCTGGCTGGCTGGCTGGCTGCTGTTGCTTTGCTTTGTCTACCTCGAGGGATCCCAATCACATCCTCTAAAGGAGACGGTATGCAGCAGTTTTAGGTCCAAGAGCCCCTTAAGCATGATATTTCCAAGAATCATGGTGGCTGACAGGCTTTTGGAAGACACTCTTCTTGAAAAAGCCAGCTGTTGCTGATCCAGTTTGGGTATGTGAGTATGCCTTGCAATGCGGTGAACCCGTTTTCGTTCGAAAGTTCAAATGACAGACATCCCGGGCGTTTTGGTAGGCGGTTGCCTGGTTTATCCTCAATTATTTTTGACTCGTCCTTAAAAAATAAACACCGGAATTCCGAAGCGAGTTTGGAAAGGCAAGCACCTTGCAACTAAATTGAGAACCTTGTTTTGCCGAGCGAACAACTTAACATAACTTCACATTCCTTATTTTAATTTGTGGCAATTTGTTGAAAAGAAGAATCCCTGAAGTCCAGATTTGTAGAGGTGCAGCTACGGTGGGGATTGGTCCGAGGGTCTGGGGCTTGTTTTCTCCGCCAGTTTTGTTGATTCCCCTAAGTGGCATTCAATAAAGTTGCCGCTCCCATTAAACCCGCCTTTCTTGAACACGCGCAGAATAAGCCTAAAAAGCTCATTTAGGCACGGTTCTGGGATCGGAGGCATCTTTAAGGGTTTGAACTCCTGCCTGACAGGGAGGTTGCGACCGATTTCATGCATCATGGTCTATGCTCCACCCAGACAGGTGTGTTCAAACAGAAGGAATCCCAACCAGCTGGTAGCTTTCCTGGCTGATTTCCCTGACATTAAGCTCGACCCGGTTTCTTTGTTGGCATACGGCATATCATTCAGATGGGTACTTTCAAACAAAGGGCTCCCCTAAAACTGGTATGAAACCCATGTGTATCCCCTAAGCCGCCTGAAAAAATGGGGCACAGTATCGTTCGAAAACCTTTGCAAGGTTCTGGACGGTGTTGGTTGCCAGTTCTGTCAGCCCTCCTATGTTGTTCACTTTGTGGGAAGACGACACCCTAAGCCGATCTTCTGTGGCCAATCCTGTTCAGCCGGTCAGTGTAAGACAGCTCAGACCACCAGAAGTCTATTTCCCAGCTCGTGATTGCAGTCAGTCCCGCATGGGTTTATCTCCAGGAAAAAGAATCGGAACCCTGAAAATGGCAAGGCTTGTCCTTTGGGTTCTCTTTTGTAGGCCAGAAAGGGGCACCCTCAAAGAAGTCCAGGGTTTTTCGCCAGAGCCTTTCCGGTATCTATGGAAGTACATAGCCTTGCCAATAACACTAATTAAAAAAGCAATCAATACTCAAGGGCTATGCAAACAGAAGGGCTCGCCATGGGGCCTGCGTTGTAAAGGTGCATCCGCCTTTGCCAAGCCGTAAAAACCGGCCGATTTCAAAAAAAATACAGGCCCCATGGCCCCAGGTTGCGGGCCGCTCTCTACGTAAAAGGGGCACCTTGACACCCGTAGACGGTAGCCCCAGCGGGAGCTTCAGGAGTTGGACGCGAAGATGCGCTCGATGACCTTCCAGGCTTCGGATCGTTGGAAGCTTCACTCAGTTGCCCAAAGCCGACCTTTTAACCTTTTGGTTTTCCAGTTTCGGTCCATTTTTAGTCATGGCCCCAAAAGGTTAACCTTTTATTTCTGGATCCTTTGGGCAAGTGAGTTCACCCCGCCATGTCGCTTGGGTCTTGATCAAAAGGTCCGAGATACATGCAAAGACCATTCGGCAACCTACCAAAACGGATACTTGACTTTCGCCACTGAAAGGAAACGGGAAATTACCCATGGTCATTTTGGGACCTCCAGACAGTGTGGGTGGGTTAACCAGGCGCGAGTCCAGTTCCCTGAAAAACCACTGGAACCTCCCCTTCAAATCACCGGAACCTCCCCTTCAAAATCCCCAAAGAAAAATGACTCTGGGATCGGCCGTGGTCAGTTGCATTGTGTGGTTGGTGTATCCCTATGTCATTTCTTCTTCGACAGTCTATTGAGCAGTGAGTGCTACGAAGGTTCCGGCTAGGGTGACAGAGAGCTTGACAAGGATGGCTGCTTTCTGGCGCCTGACGCTTGGGCTACGGGGCTCTTGGTGTTGGCCTGCACGGAGTCTTTGCGTTTGGTAGTTAGACTGCCCGGTTTTTGTGTTTTGGCTGGCACACTTCGCTGAATGTGGCTGGATTGCCATGAACGCTATCGAGCCCAATTGCTTTTGCATGTTTGGTTGTGAGGGCATCCTTGTGGGTGGTTTTCAAAGGGAAAACAAAGGGAAGCTAGGGTTCCCCAAATTTATCCTTGCCGCGTCAAAGACCGCCTGGGTGATTTTTGTTCAGGCGAGTGTCCTGTTCGGGTGATGTTTTAAAGGGGGGTTCAGATAGGGAGCCCAGCGTGGGGGAAGCGGTGCAGGTGGACGAGGCGACATCGGCCATTGCTGGGACCGAAGTTTGATGCGGCAGCGTAGGGCTTTCCATGTGAAATCTACTGAAACAACATCGTCCGGTTTCTTTTTGGTGGTTTTTTTGAGGGCACGTTTTCAGCGTGGCTCACAGGACATAAAGCATGGACATCATTCATTTTGGGGTCTTGTTCCAATTTTGCCACATCCCCTATACCTTTTGTTTCAAGGTTGACTTATAGTCAGACAGTATGTATATCTATATAGATAGATTGATTGATGGATTGATTGATTGATTGATTTGTGTTGATTTAATTTGATTTGATTTGATTTGATTGATTTGATTTGATTGATTGCTTGATTGCTTGATATTTGCTTACCATGGGGGTGGGTCAAGAAACCGCCTGTTCTCAGTATGGGGAGTCGTTCGAGGGGTGGGGATCCCCTTCTTTTTTCTCACAAGTGATGGTTTATCTGGAGTCATTCCCTCCCCTGCTGAGAACCAAGATGAACCAAAGTTGCCTTGTGCACTGAGAGGCGAGCAAGATATGAGACTGTCCCTTGGTTTTTACCTGAAAGGCAACTCAGAAAAGAAACGACTCATTTTGCGGCTTCCCTTAGTTTGAGACAGCCCGGTGAGTTGTTTGAGGGTTCTCTGTTCACTTTCGCAGGGAAAAGCATCTTTCGGAGAACCAACCTCCTTTCAAAGGGTCCCTATGATTGGACTCTCAGCTGGCGGTTTCCACGTGGTTTCCCCGATTTTCCCGTTGACCCAGTGGCCCGTTTTGCCTTTGGACCGAGTTGAGGTGCGGAGCCGTAAAGAAGCCGCGACGGCCACCCAGGCGCGCAAGGGCAGCTTCCGTGATAACTCGGCCCCAGTGCCCCGTACTTTTGGAGCGAATGTGGAGGGTCCAGGTACCTGGAGTCTCCATGACCCTTTGAAAGTGGATCCATGACCCCAAGATTTTGTGTAATGACCCCATTTTTAAGGGGCCATGGAGACTCTAGGTACCCCTTTTTGGTGGTTGTTCAAGGACAACTAAAAGGACAACTACACCATTTAGCGGGCTCCCCTAAAAAGGGCACACGCACACACATACACCCATGAAAACAACACGGGGCGCAGCAAGTGTACCCAATTGGATCTGTTGAGCTGGCCATGGGGCAAGGGTGGCAGTGGAATGACACTCAGATGAGAGTGAATTGACTGAGTTGAGTGCGGTCCCACACCTTTTTCCTGGAGAAACCCGACCGCTAAAATGGAGAATCCAAGGATGCCTGCATCTCTTGTTTTTCTTTTGGGGTCGACAGGTTGGTGGATTGATGCGAGACTTTGGAACCCAGGCTATTCGGCTGGCCAAAGACCCCATCCCCAAAGCCACCTCTGCACTGGAGGTTCATTAATTCACATTCTCTGCACTGGAGGTTCATCAATTCACCAGCACGGCGTGCCTGGGGTCCTGTGACCGTTGGACGGCGTTGGAGATCGGGAAACCTTCCACGTCATTCGCTTCCGCCCGAGCATCAGGCCTGCAAAGTCTTATTCACCCAGACCCGACAGCACTTTGCCCCAGATCAGGGCACCTAGGCATTCTGTTTCCATTCTTGTTGCCACTTCCATGTTGTCATGCACGGTGACGAATTGTGTACTTTCCCTCTTGGTTTGAAGGGGAGACCGTCATGGCGTGTAGTGTAGCTTTGTTGATCTTCCGTGGCCCTGAACGCGTACATGGAAGTTGCTGTTCTTGTCTTGGGACGCTTGCGCCTTGCAGGCTCTTCGGGACAAGATGGAGGCAGGTGGTGAATGGGCTGGGCATTTGCCACCTCGAAGGGATTTGGTGTGCGGCCGAAGAACTCTTGTGTTTTGGGATATGGTGCTTCCAACACTACCGCCAGAAAACGATGTCCGTGACTTATGTGGCAACTGAACCCCTCTCAAAAAACAAAACCGAGAGGGCCACCCGCGTGACCGCGGGTCCCCTTGATTTCCAATCCACTAAAACTCACCAAATGGGTGTGTCTTGTTTGAGTCCCTTTGGTTTTCAAGGGAATCGAAAAGGAAGCCAACCATTTTTGGGAGTCTCCAAAAAACACCCACACCCACACCCACACATGCCACACGTTGTCTATTACCTTGATCTTATATCTAAATTAATTTGGATTGCGCGAATCTTTTTTTTTTTTTTTTAATATATTGCCCTTGCAGCAGGATCCCTCACTTTAGGTTTGGGAACATAGGTGTCATGTTGATCCGTTAGTTTGGCTAGAAATAAATGGCACTGGTTTAGATTAGTTTTATTGCATTTACCTGGTGGAACAGGGTCACCTCTGTTTGAGAACTGTTCCAATATCATGTCATCTAGTGTTGCCTTAATGTCATCTTTATCCAGTGCGTGAGTGCCAGCCTGACAACGCATTCCCGTGCCTCCATTCCTAGTGTTTGGCGGGATTCGGTTGGCGGTTCCCTTTGTGTTCTGCCAGCTGGAAGACTTCGAAGCTTGCTATTGCAGTTGAAACGATTCCACAGCCCTCAGTATCGTTGACCCCATATTAATCAACCACAGTTTATTAATAGGCGGATGTTCCACTCCAAAAGTGATGGTTCCCACTAAAGCCAGAAACACCCCGTATTAGTAAACTGGGCTTGATTAGTAGGCCACCATGGTCATGAAGAGATCTGTGTAGCCTTTGAATGCATCGACCATCATCGACCAATTGGGCTAAAGGCCTGACGCTTTGAGAACGACAGCCGGGAAAATTTGTCCACGAGACAAATCGAACACGTAGCTGGCCACACGTTCGGTGGCAAACAAAAGGCAACATCGTTCTTCGCCGAGAGGCAAACTGCTCTGTAGTCCCAAGGCCGGGCGCACTCTTTGGGGGACTTCTGAGTGAGTCAGGGACGGCCAGCTCAACAGTTGGACCCAGGAGCCACCGGGCCAACATATTTTCGATCGATCGCCGCGGGGGCAAAAACGCATCGAGCTCCGAAAGGGATTTGTAAAATCGGCCGATTTCACTGCTGGTTCCCTTCACGGAAGTGTCTTGAGGTTAATTCGAGCCAAGCCATGAAAGTCCACAGCCTGAAGTTCACACCAATGCTTGGAGCGCATGAAGCTCTAGAACAAACGTCCTTTTCGAGTGTGGATATATGAGAGGGTGAATAAAAATTGTGAATTGGCGCACATCCCAGCTTTCCCTCAATTCCAGCAGGGCTTTTTTTGTGTTTTGTTTGTTACTTGGCCGTGGTTCTAGGGTTCCGCTCAGGGCTTTCGTGTTGTTTGGCCGGGAGCCTCCGCGGTCCCCGGCCTGCTGTACCCGCTCCGCCGCTCCGATCCGCCGGTCCGTCGCAGTCCCCGGTCCGATGGATGCGGCTCGGGGGGTTTGAGAGGCCTTCCACAACTGCAGCTCCGGGCACATGGAGAGCGCCATCATGAGCCTCGAGGTGCTCGGCGCGAGCGCTCGGCGCTCGCCTTTCTTTTTTTCGACTTGTTTTTGGGCACCAACTTTTCGACTTTTTTGAGCTCAGTTCAGTGGCACCAACTCTTTTTTATTTCTCTTGCTTTTTTGGTGGCTGCCAAGAACTAAAAATGGTCGAAACCCCAAAAAGGGTTCCATTTTTTCCCCAGGGTCAGTGATGAGCTGCGTATGTCTAGGTCCCCGAGCTAGGCTTTCTCACCCCTTGTTTGGGGGAGGGTTCCTCTACTAAAATAGACGACAGAAAAAAGGGTACCCTTATTCTAAATTATAGGGTCTCTTTTAAGGGAATCCCCTTCGGCTCATTCCCAAAACCCGAAAAAAAAAGAAAAAAGAAGAAGAAAAAAAGCAATCCCTACTTATCGCACCATTTTGGTGTCAGTCCACCCAGCAAACCAGGCTTTTGATGGGCAGGTTGTTTGTAACAGCCTCAAAGCGGCTCTTGTGGATTTGCAGTGATCTTTGTTTATGAATCAGGCTACCCTCACCTGGGTTTCAGCCCCATATTTCTTGTTGCGGGTCTAAGTCTCGCCAAGTCTCTAAGAAACCAACTACAGGAAATTCTATAGGAAACCTCTGATTTTGGTTGGTATTTGGCTAACTTCCCGTATAATTTCTGTACTGGTTTCTATGAACATCTTCTACCCCAGGACTGCCAGACGCGCGTGCTGGACCGCTTCGAGACTTCCCAGCGAGCGCTGCAGGAGCCGACACCGAGCGGAAACAAAAAACGAACCGGCGGCTCGGGGATTTGGATGTGCAAGGGAAGCATAGCTTTATTCACTCCCCGAGTTTCTGGTCTTTAAGAAGAGCATTTTTGTGGTAATTGAACAAAAGGCATAGACTTGTGTCCGAGTTTCTGGACTTTCTCCACTTTTTCGGGAGACCATGTTGGTGGTAAGCAAGAAGTATAGACGGAGTGTTAATCAATCTGATCAATCCACTCGGGAAGTGAGCATAAGGGGACTGACCGCAGTTACCCAAGTTACCATGGTTGCAACCTACTAAGTTGTTTGAACATCCAACCAGGGAAAACACGGGCGAAAACAAGCGGTTGGCAACGATTTGTGAACCGCCCTAGAAAATGGTACCCTCACAAAACAAAAAAACACACACCCATGTGGAGGTTTTAAGCCGAGTCTTGGTTGGTTTGGAGGGAAGCAAAAGGACAACCCACCATTTTTGTTGAGGTCCAAAGTTGGAATGTCAAGGATTTGATTTGTTGCAGCGTTCCCAAAAGAAGCTCATGAGTTTGACACAGTTGGCCCCTTACATCAGAAATACATGAGGTGTTTTCGAAAGGCAATTGCCGGGCTGAGCCGACAATTTCTTGCTGGCTCAGTAGGGAATGACCCAGGGTTTGGGAATGAACCTATAGGGATTCCTTTAAAGAAACCCACAAGGTCTTTTTCCCGGCGTCATTCCATCTCATTCCCTGAGATCAGAGCATGTCCAAAGCAAGTGGAACTTTGATCCTTGGGGGTCCTTTGCCCAAAAGGCTCCCCTCCCACATTTCCATGGCACCAGAGGAAGCTGATCTTCCAACCCCAGAAATCAGTTTCTGGGAGGAAGAAGGGCACGTAGAGAGTGCCATTTCTAGCTACCAGGACCTCCGAACGGAGACCTCAGCGGAGATGGCAAAGATGCAAAAGGCTTTGGGCTTTGGGCTTTGGGCTTTGGAGTCCATTTAACCAGAGGTATTTAGAGGCAAAGGCAGGTTACCTACTACAGGGCCGGTTTTAAACACCCTTTTTAGCTGATAGTGTGGATGGTTGCGAAATCCAATTCGCACTACCTAAGAAGCCATGGTTGAAACATTCACGTTGGGGAATCAACTCATTCCAGGGGTTAGACAATGTGTGGAGCCATTTGAGGCCATTTGTCAGAATGTATTTGTCATTTGGTCGCGAGAGAACAAAAATCCGGACTTGGGATGCGTATTTCATTTTACTCATGACCGCAAGCACGGCGCTTCGCCCAAAACAACACATTTTGAGCCCGTGGTGAATTCCCGTGCCAAACCCAGTCGATCCTACCATGAAGCGCAACCAGTCATTTTCTTTTGGGTCTTAGGGTGGTTCCCTTGGTTACCTACACAGCCAGGGAAATGCAATCGCTGGAAAAGATAAAGAGTTTCAGGGACCCTGAACTCATGGACATGAACCGAGATTTGCAAGGCCATGAAATGGCATGCTTTGCATTTCCATAGTTGCCGAAGTGCCCCAGAACCCAAGTGGGGCATTTCCTTGTTTCCCGTGTTTTGAATAGGGTTTCTCCCCAAAGTCAGCCAACTACAAAGAAAAGGTGCCCCGATATCTGGAACCCCACCGCAGGTGGTTGCAAGTGGCTGCCTTTCTCCGTTCTCCCCAGACTTACTTGGCCAACGTCAGTAGGTTATACCCATGGTTTTGAGTGGGCGACCCCCAGTTACGCAAGGTATAACCATGATGAGATCACCTACTTACCTGACGTTGGTTGAACATCAGAGTAGTCCCCTTCTCGAGCTCCCCACGTGTCCGGCATGTTGTTTGTTTCTGGTGAGCTCACTGAAACTCCTGACTTTCATGTTGGAGAGGGGTGCACTTCAACATGGAATCCAAGAGAAACAACAAGTGCGTAGAGGAATTCCCTTTCTCATGGCTGGTCTTTGACCGAGTCGCCTCTTAGACTCCACCTTTTTTGGAAACAAATTTGGTGTTTTCTTTTGCTCAGAAGAGCAGCGCAGGGTTTGCCCTTCTGTCCGCAGTTGGAGTTCAGAGGGGTGTGTGAACTTAGGCATCGCACCCCAAAAAAATATGGTTGTCCTTTTGGTTTCCCTTAAAAACTGTCAAGAAAGGGATGATCTCAAAAAAGACACAACCAAATACTTGGAGTTCAGAGACTGAGACTGGATTGGAAGGCAGCTGCAGATGTCCGGCAGGATGACCAGGCGAGGACTTTTTAGACGGCTTTCTCGTTCAAACCGAAAGGCGGGTCGCAAACTGGACCCCCAATTCTCAGAGCCCCGCTCAGATTGGTACTTGGGTTGTGAAATCCCCGCTAGATGGACTGGTCTGGCTTTAGGCCTTCAAAAGTTAGTGGGGACCTCGACACATGTCACCGTTGATGGCATCGCTTACATCGAGCCGTTCCCACATCACGAACCTGGAATGCACTCTTTGGTGCTGCTTGAGCGAACCCAGCACGTCCCATTCGAGATCTTCTGGAATTCGGAACGCCTCCAAGAGAATGCCGAGAAGATTTAGAATGACCGAGGGGGTGGGCTATCCAGAAGCAAGCTCTGCTGCTCTTGCAAAATTTTGTAAGTGGGAGGTCCCCCATGGGAGTTCTCATCTGATCAACATGGAGCCTAAAAAAGTCACCAACTGGGTGTGGCTTAGAACTCAAGAGCCAACCGCAGGTCTGAGTCTACTTTTCCATTTACCGATCGGGTAACCCATTTTGGAGAATCCTGCATGTTTTGTTGCCACGCGCATTTGGGGAGTCTCCCGAAAGGATGGGGACGGGGATTCATCCCTGTTTTGTTCCCGACTCCAAGATGCCGAGTATCCTATACCCAGTGATTCCATTTCCTCCTGATTTCGTAAGGCAATCGCTCTAAGACCAGCAGCAAACTGACTGGCTACCCACCAACTGGGATCCACTGGGACAGTGAAACCAAGGTTGGATACTCGACTAGCCACCCCTGGAACTGCCAGGAATCCTCAGCGCGGTTTCCCCAAATATTGCTTGCTTATGTCAGACATGGTACGTCTTGGTTCCTCTTTTTGTCCCGGGATAGGCTTAAACTGAGGAGTTCCCCAAAAAGGGGGTAATGAACCTACTGGGTTTGAGTCTACGCTGGGAAGCCGTACCTTGTCCCCCAGACCCTCCCTAAATCAAGGCTAGGGATTCGCAAGAGCTCACCATGAAGGTTCCTTGGGTCCTGACCCCGACAAAATGGTTGCTTTCCTTTTGGTTTCCCTTTAATCCAACTGTAAAACGGCAACCTCAAAAAGCACGGTCAAAGTACCTTGCCTTTAAAACCAACCCCAAGCGGCGCACCCAGCCTCAACAAAAAGACAAACCCACATGGGGAACTCATTAATTAGATTTTGCACACAACCCATGGGACACAGGCATGCTTAAAGTAGTTAAAGTACACAGGCCCCGCCCAAAAAGAAATGGTAGATTGCCCTTTGGCTTCGTTCACCTCCCTGGAACGGGACCAGCCAAGAAGACGCCAAGCATTGACATATCGATCTGCAGAGTGCTCCAGCTCATGTGAAACCCATCTGAAACCGCCTTTTTTGGGTTTCCCTTATATTGACACCGATTTCGGAGTAATCACCGATTTTTCGGTTCCCCTATTTTTGTTGGTTCCCCTATTCCGCCCAAAATCAATCTGCGCAGTACTTCACCGATGTCGCCTCAGATCGCCACAGGCGAAGCTGCAGCAGAACGTCTCTGAGCTCGAAGTCTTGGTCAGGAAGTCCACCCAGCAGGCGATCGACCGACTCGACAAAAAGGGTCGACTCGTCCGCTTCTTTTTGCTATGTCCCCCAGCAGTGCCCTGTTACCGCTTCTTTTTTTTGGGAGGGTTCCCCTACGAAAAGCAAACTACAGAAAAAAGGGTGCCTTTATTCGAACCTCTCTACTGGAGGACCTAGCTTGTGTCTCACCACGCTCAGAGGAAACCGAAAGGCCCAGACGGTCAAAGTCGTCGGCACCAGGGGATTTGTTTGGTCAACCCCAGTGTGCATTGCCGGACATAGTTTGCCTTGAGATTTAAGCGTTCGCTTTTTCTGCATGTAGAGGGTGTTTCAGCCAAGCAACCTGAAATTCAGTTTACCACCCATGGGCAACTGGCCGTTTGGAAGGAACTCGATGGAATGATCGATTAAGGAAACCAGTGTTTCACCAGGCTGAAACTTGGTTGACTCTCTTTCACATAGTGTTCGTAGGATGCGTAAACCATTTCTCAAGGCCCAAAGGTTGATCTTGACAAGTGAGACTTGAGCACGAGGAGACATGACCAACAGGGGCCGGACTTATACTCCATGCGGCAAGCTGACCTGTTTCATGGTTGGATTCCCCACAAGTGGTCAGGGCATGTTGTTGCGCCCTATGAGGTGTTTTGCTCCAGGATCCATGTTGGTTTGCAGGAGGGTATCTTAGGTCGGTCACTTCCGATTTCAGTCAGGCACACGCGCACACAAATGTTGCACGATTATGGGATAGGTAGGTGTGATGCACCCCACCAATTTATTTACGCATGCCCTTGCAGTAGTTGTTTGTTTTCCAGGAGGTGGTGAGAGCAGGCACTGCGATTCGTGATTCGCAATCTCCGCAGGTGCTGTGCGATCTCCGCTTGGAGGCTGCTTCACGCAGAGAGGAGCCTGGAGCGTGACGTGAACATAGTCTGGCCCCTGGTTTGTGGTTTGGATTGGTGGTTTGGGGACTTGAACCCTCGGTGGTCATGTTTGCCCATGCTGGACCTGATTTCGCAGAGTGACATGCTGGCAAATATTGGTATGTCTGAAAATTAAGGGACACATAAATTGTGGTTTCCGTTTGGTTTTCCAAGGGGTCCTCTCAAAACAGACACACCCATATCGGTACCTGTCAGTGAACTGTTGGCTAGCCTTTGTGGGACTCAATCACTCGGGCTTCCCGGCTTCAAACAGCACCTCAAACGGATCTTCGGCCGGTTCACCTGGGTGCGCAGTGGTGGCTTCCATTTGCTGAAGATGATTTTTGTATTTTCCCTTGTCGTTTTTGAAAGGGAATCTATCACTACTGGATGTTTTGTTTCCCCCCCATTTTCCAGGTGGCTTCAGCAAACGGAAGGGTGCGCAAACTCACTCCTCGCTGGCATACATGTCGCGGTGCTCCATGGGAGCTCTAAGCGTATGCTATATTTTAGAGTAGCCTTTAAAAAGCAGACATGGAACCTTGGGTTTGAAACCCTCATGTCCTATGCGTCCCACGTCATCTCTGCTATTGTGGATGAGACTCTTCATCGCTCAGATGCTGCCTTCCCTTGAACCAGCCAAGCTATTTCGAGTCCCCGAATCCGAACTCATTGAGCTTGGCCCAAATCTGGGGTACGCAAAGGATCACGTGTTCGGATTATTCAACAGGGATCCTGACGAATGTGGACTTTGGCTCATGTAGTGGCCTTAGATGATTGGTTTCCCGGAATCTTCCCTGGCTGAAACATCTAGCGGTTCCACTTTTGTTCGTTCTTCTCAAGTTCTTTGTTGATTGCTTTAGGGGGCTGGCCGACGGCCCAAGCCAGGGAAGCATGTTTCAGCTGACACCATATCAATGTTTGCCTCACAAGAACCAACATGGGATTGCAGGAGATCAAGTCGGAGGCGGTCTAAGGGTTTCAAGTGAAAGAAGGTTGTGTGAATCTTTGAAAGTTCTTATTCCCAGTTTGTGCAAGCAAATGACGCTGAAGGTAGCCGCCCAGCTGCCGTTTTGACATTTAGGCTGAGTGGGACAGAAAATACTTGAATCAGTAACACATCCCGAGAGGGCACAACAGTCGTCTTCGCCTAGACAAATGAAGGACATGTTCCTGAAAGGAAAACGTGCATTTCTTGCCCACCACTTGCCAATGCTTCAACTCAGGGACTTACTTTGGGAGAGACAAAGGTGCAGTAGTCTCCACACACACACAGTTTCCACATGGTTGATGTGTGTTGTTTTTGAGTGTACCCTTTTTAAGGTTGGTTTAAATGGGGATTAACAGGCCGCGCTATTTCGGGGTCCCCTGTTTTGCCACATACCCGCTTACGGCCCGGCTGACGCCCGACCGAAGCCCGACCGAATCCCTCGGGATGTGAGCATTGTCTTCAGGACGCGCAAAAGCAGTTGGAGACTTTGGAGAAGAAGGCCTAGTAGCCCCTGGGTTCAAACCACCATGAAAACAACTAATTATTGTTTACCCAAGAATTATCGTCATCCAAATTGGGTCAAGCATTTGTTCAATGGGGAAAGTTGAACCCTAGGGTACCGGATCAACAAAACGCTTATCAATACGAGGGTGTTCCCCTCAAGTGTTTAACCACTACCAGGGACGCCCATATTGGACTGGGCTTGGTTAATCGGGGGTTCCCATAAGCGGAAAGTACTGCGCACTCGGCCCGGGAAACTTAAGAAGTCCCGGCAAGGGATCGTCTCGTTGATTGGGAAACCCGTGGGTTGAGCGCAGTTTTTACCCAAGTCGTGCCATTTGAGGAGAATGATAAGGCTGCTCATGATCTCTGGCCCTTGAAAGAGGAAGGGGCATGCCAAGAAGGGGCATGCTGAGCTTTTGCAGTGAAGTCAGAGGAAGCCACCTACCGACATGTGCAGGGGGAAAGGGTTGATAAAGCATGCACATTTGCTGCGGCCTGCACTTTTCTAAAAGGCAGTGTAGTTTGACAAGCCCCCAGATACAAGAGCCCGGCTAAAGAATCCCACCCTGAGGTCATGGCTTTTTTTCCTCATGCTGTGCCGCGACTGCCACGTTACCATGTGCTTTGCTGGTTGTTACTCTGGGACTTCGGACCCGGGCCCATGGAGCCTATGCTGAACACCCCCTTTGTACATGTGAAGATTCGAAGATGTAACTTGTTCTTTGGGTTTCATGTCACAGCTGAGGTTTCTTTTCAAAGGCGCATTCATCTATTCGTAGAGCTTGGCCCAATTCCAACATTTGGGGAGCCATGACATCCTCCAACCTGCAAATATATGGAATCGAGCCGGGAGAACGTGAACAACAGAGATGGCTAGCATTGAATCCTGATGTTTAGTTATTGAGATCCGATATGACCCACGTCCTCCCTTGGAGGGTTCCCCTTCTAGACTGACCTATTTTATTCATGTGTTTTGCACTAAGTATAGCAAGCTCGCCTAGGGATAAAAGAAACTCACGAACAACTATATATCTCTTTTCGGAACTTCGTATTTTCGGCTGATTAGTTTTAGTACCTTATGCAGATGCACAACCATGACGGCATCTCCGGGGTTGCTCAAAAAGGATCTGCC